CACTTGAAACTGTGTATCTGTGTGTCTTGGCCGACTTTCTCTGTCCGTGTACTTTGTGTTCTGTCGAACCATCCAGGGTCCGTGCAACACATCCAGGGTCCGTGCAACACATCCAGGGTCCGTGCAACACATCCAGGGTCCGTGCAACACATCCAGGGTCCGTGCAACACAGCCAGGGGTCCGTGCAACACAGCCAGGGTCCGTGCAACACAGCCAGGGTCCGTGCAACACATCCAGGGTCCGTGCAACACATCCAGGGTCCATGCAACACATCCAGGGTCCGTGCAACACATCCAGGGTCCGTGCAACACATCCAGGGTCCGTGTAACACATCCAGGGTCCGTGTAACACATCCAGGGTCCGTGCAACACATCCAGGGTCCGTGCAACACATCCAGGGTCCGTGTAACACATCCAGGGTCCGTGTAACACATCCAGGGTCCATGCAACACATCCAGGGTCCGTGTAACACATCCAGGGTCCGTGCAACACATCCAGGGTCCGTGTAACACATCCAGGGTCCATGCAACACATCCAGGGTCCGTGTAACACTCCAGGGTCCGTGCAACACATCCAGGGTCCGTGCAACACATCCAGGGTCCGTGCAACACATCCAGGGTCCGTGTAACACATCCAGGGTCCGTGTAACACATCCAGGGTCCATGCAACACATCCAGGATCCGTGCAACACATCCAGGGTCCATGCAACACAGCCAGGGTCCGTGCAACACAGCCAGGGTCCATGCAACATAGCCAGGGTCCGTGCTACACAGCCAGGGTCCATGGAACACAGCCAGGTATCGTGAGCGACGCAACACAAGCAGAGTGTTACCAAACACCACAACAAAGGAAAGCGAGCTTAAACACTGCTCCGAGTCAATACTAAAGGAACACAAGACTACTAAAAATAACAAATAGAAGACTGGTGAGACACCTGAGTAAGTATACCAACCCGTCCTCTCGCCTAATACCTCACATTTTGAACGGAATCCACCAATCCGTTGAAAATGCGACGTATAAGTTAAAAGGAAAATACCGTAATGTTGACATTGTCCATGAATCGTGCACGATAGATTAGGTGGGTTGTTTGGGTTCGTACGTTTTAGTTAGGAAAAAAAAGGATTTGCATTTTTACTGAGTGGCAAATGAGAAGGCGCTGAATAAACATTTCTTCTGCTAGTATAGAATGAGTGAAGCGTTAAAATTATTGGAACTGCGTGCAGAGCACTCTGGCAGCACTCTGGCAGCACTCTGGCAGCTCTCGCTGGAGTGTAGTGGAGAGAGATCTCGTAAGGTTTACTAAGAAGTTGGTTGCTGGTTAGAGCGATAATCTGCACACTTAACATCATAATACTTCTGAAGTATGAGACACTGATGAGGCGAAGCTGAGCGCGAGCACTGCAGGAGCCTGGAGGAAGACTTGCTTAAGTTGCAGACATGATCTGGCAAGTGTCTGCTGGACTTCACTCCAGATAAGTGCAAGGTCATGAGGATGGGAATTGTGATAAGGGAATCAGAGGAACAATACCTAATGAAAAGGAGGAACTTACTAAGAGTGAGTACGACTGAAATATCCGAGAGACGATTCTGAACCAATTTCCGGAGGAACACATAGAATCACATCTGTAGTGTATGCAAGCTGGCGAACATCAGGCAACTTGAGGAACCTAGACAAGGATACGCTGATAATTGTTTACACAGCAAACATCGGACCAGTGCTAGAGTATGCAGCACCAGCCTGGAGCCCGCACCTCAAAAATCACAAAACGTAGATTGAGCAAATACAGAGATTTTTCTACAAGACTGGTCCCAGAACTGAGGTAAATAACCTACTGGAATAGTGAGAGAACTGTATTTAAAGTTACTGTAAGGAAGGTGAAATATAGGGAGCATGACCCCAGACGTAATACTGATGGGTATCGATCATAGAGTGACAACATGTAGGCTGTGTGGCACGGTGACGAGGGCACTCACAGGTAAACTATACCAACAGGTAAGCCACACTTGATGTGAGGAAATTCTTGAGTGTAAGGCCACCTGCAGTACACTAGGAAGGAGAAAAAATCGAGGTTACTTCTCTTTATTGTTGTTATTTCTGTTCTGTTCATCGTTGTTACTTCTGTTCATTGTTAAAAAGGAGTTACAAAGGCGGGGAAGGGGACTATTGGGGAAAAGTGCCAAGTCATTATGACTATATAGCACTGGGAAGGGGTCAGGATAAGGATTTGGGATTGGACGGTGGTGGGGGGGGGGGGAATGGTGCCCAGCCACTTGGACGGTCGGGGATAGAACGTCGACCTGCAAGAAGCGAGACCGTCGCTCTACGGTCCAGTTCAAGTTCAAGTATGTTTATTGAGATAAGCAAGAAATACATCTCAAAGGGATAGAGTAGCTTAGGCTATTTCTACCCCCCTACGGTCCAGCCCAAGTGGTTAGGTAGAAAGGCGGGGAGGCTAACTCTATTCAGTTTCTAAAAAGGTGTGATAATAAAGATTAGGTTGGGGAACGTAAGTGGTTAGAAAACGGGTCCACTAGGGGCACCGGTCTCTGATGGTGAACCATAGCTTCAGGCAGTTCTGAGAACCAATTTTGGCCAGAGACCGGCCATGGGGTTGGTAGTCTGGCCCACCTGGCCCAGTCTTGGGTTGATAGCATCAACCATATAACTGTTAACATTAACTAAGGGTAAGTTTGGACTGGGTGGAATGCCTAGCAATGTGACACCCTGAGCCATGGGGCTGGTAGTTGGCTTTTGTGCCTAGCTATCAGTCTCTCTGTGAAATGAACTCTAGCTCTTTGGCTCCCGTCTCCCAGCTATTGTTTAGCTCACAAAGCTTTCCATAGGTTGTTACGACGCCCGATGGCGCTCGCCCATTCATTCCAAAGGTCATGTATGCGGGGACCGTTGACTATTTTTTATGGACCGAAAGTTGGGGTGACAGGCACGAAACTTTCCACCTTCCAACAATACAAAATACGATATCCGGATACGAAATCGGTGTAATATAAAACTTAATGATATTTCTGATTTCCGGGAGGAAATTTCCGAGGACGGGAAATTTCAATTTCCCGTGGTGAGTGTACCACGTTTACCATGTATCAACATGAATGTAATAAATTAATGAGTACACGTTTAAATCCTGGGCTGAGTATAGGCTACCCTGTTGCAACAGCCTCACGGTTAAGAAGGATTTCTGTATGTATGCTCGTATACTGGATATGACTGTACAGGTAAAGAGAGGCACACGCGCCGGGTACACGAAGGCCAGTTGGTAAGCACTGAAGTATCACAGTGTCACTGTACACTGAAGTATCACAGCGTCACTGTACACTGAAGTATCACAGCGTCACTGTACCCTGAAGTATCACAGCGTCACTGCACACAGTCGATGGTGTTACCGAGCGTTCTAGGGAGTCAGTCACGAGGAAAGTCTGTGATTGACCCGTGTTAGACAATGGCTAGGATATCATCCAGCCTTTTGGATATACCTGCACATTGTATAAATAGAACTGAACTAACCCATCATAGAGTAGCTGGTATATAACTATATAAGGCACGTATGAAGGTGTATATTGTGAGGGGAGTGAAGGGAATGTTCTCTACATGAAGCTGAAGACTTCAGTGAGGTAAATGTGACCTTCTAATAGGGAATAACACAAGACCACAGACCACTTCTTGTCTGTCATTATCTTCAACTTGTAACAAATACAGATGTATTCTATAGAAACAAACCATGTGCAAACCAAATTGGAATGTGACAGTAGTTAGACCAGTACAAAGTTATCTACGTTAGGAGTACATACTGCTTGAGCATACATGTGTGTGTGTACATACTGCTTCAGCATACATGTGTGTGTGTACATACTGCTTGAGCATACACGTGTGTGTGTACATACTGCTTCAGCATACATGTGTGTGTACATACTGCTTGACAATACATGTGTGTATGTGTACATACTGCTTGACTGTACTTTGTACATAAGTATATGTACATGTGTATGCTGGAATCAAGCTTGGCTAATATGCAAACCGTGCACTAGCGGCGGTATGGAACCCTCAGTTGGCAGGCATAATAGTAATGTTTAACCCTAATCTGGCCTTAAATTTGTGGAGGGGAGGTGGTTTCCACAACTTCTTTTAGTACATTCTACTTTTTGACCACCCATACAGGGTACGAATATTTCCTTACATTTTTCCAGTCGGTTGCGTTTCCAGCTTCCACTTATGCCCTCTCGTCCTACTTTCTCTCAACTTGAGGCTGTCCTTGTCTGCCTTGTATATTCGCTCATTATCCTGTAGGTTGTGATCATATCCCCGCCTGTTTCTTCTGTCCTCTGTAGTAGTTGTGAGGTGTTGTTTCCATAACCTTTCCTCATAGCTTAACCCTCTTACCTGTGGCACTAATCTTGTTGCAAACCTCTGTACCTTTCACATTTTTATTTTATCCTTCACAAGGTGCTGATTCCAAGCCGGTGCTGCATATTCCAGTATAAGGCTAAGAAAGGTTGTGTAGATTGCCTGGAAATAATCTTGATTTAGGTTTCTAAACGATGTTTTCCAGTGTCCCATGATGCCGATGTTACCTTGCGTGTGTGTGTGTGGAGGTGGGTTGAGGTTCGTATAAGGTAAGGAGAGGTTTGTTATTCGTCACACACAACGTCACATGATGGAGGCTGGATGGGAGGGAGTGGGTGTAGTGTCGCTGGTGACCATGACCCAGTCCTGCCTGTGACACAGCTGAGGTAAACCAGCACCGCCATACTGTTTTACTGCTAGCGGAAGTATGGCGTTAGTGAGGCCGGGCCAGCACCGCGGATGTGTTCCGAGCCATACAATGTTTCCGCCACTGACACGGACCTTAAGTGAGTAGGAAGGAAGGAAGGAAGGAAGGATGTACTTAAGGAAGAAAGGAGGGACGGTCGAGATGGAGGGATAGGAGGAGGAGGGAAGGGAGGTAGGAGTGGAGGGACGGTCGATGGCGGGCTAGGAGAGCGCCAGTGTGGTGTGTGAGTCAGGGTCTGGCCCAGACAGTCATTGGGTCCACCGCAGTAAGGCAACACAGCAGCGCCTTCGTCAGTGCACTGCGGAGCGCCTCAGGAAGTAGTCGTGGTCTTGCGCCGCCTCGTCCACGTTCACACATTACCAGGTGTGTTGCATGCTGCCCACCGTACGCCTTCCTTACCCTCCTCTCCGCCTTCCACCTGCTCCGTCGTTGAAGGCACAATGGTATAACAGGTAGACTAATTTGTAGTCTCTGGCGATCTTTGTCTGGGGGACGAGTCCCCGGTGATCCGTGGCTGGTCTCGGGTCTCTGGTGACCCGTGGCTGGTGTCGGGTCTCTGGTGATCCGTGGCTGGTGTCGGGTCTCTGGTGACCCGTGGCTGGTGTCGGGTCTCTGGTGATCCGTGGCTGGTGTCGGGTCTCTGGTGACCCGTGGCTGGTATCGGGTCTCTGGTGATCCGTGGCTGGTGTCGGGTCTCTGGTGACCCGTGGCTGGTGTCGGGTCTCTGGTTATCCGTGGCTGGTGTCGGGTCTCTGGCTGTCAGTACGACAAACAATTTAATACAATCCCGATATATCTCGCGAGTGCGCGTCGGCAGAGTCTGAAGCCTTATTAAATCATACAATAATTCCCTCAATAATAATATACATCAGCTGGGATCCCTGGCGCTGTTTTTCTCAGCACGGAATTAACACCTCACGCACCGCTGACACCCGCCTTCAGTTTTTTAGGTCAAGCTCGTAACGTGAGAATGAGTGATATGGTAATAAGCTGACCACCAACCATGTAATTAGTGGGGTAAATCACCATCAAGGTCTGTCTGGGATGGTGTTAATTAACCCTTGTGAAACGTGTGGTAAGAAGAGAAACGAGGACAAGGAGGGAACATTGGTGGTGGATTGTGTAGCTGCATTCCAGCGGGTCGCTTCTGCTGCTGCTACACGAAGGTACTCTACAGTGGATATTATACAACAAATATATTTATATGGTACATTAAAAAGGTACATTATTGCAAGCTACTCGCACTCACGATAAGGTTCTATAAGCTGAGTAAAACTACCCAGATTGATTGTGGAGGAGCTCCAGAACCAGTTTTAAGCACCATGTTTTATTTACAGCACAATAAAGATGAGACATACACAGCCATGACCGTCACATACCTGATATAACTATCCTTAAGTTGCTCTTTAACTAAATCAACTAAATGGTTTCTCGTCATCACTGAAGAATTAAAGTTGACGAATCTGTTATAAATGGAGGCTAAGTTTCGTGCTGGAGATGGAGGAAGCTGGATTTCAGAGGTCCAACGCTGCATAGTCTTCCCGGCTTGGTGCCTTCTTTTGATAATTACTTACTGAGAGGGTCCACAGTCACCTGCCTACCCTCCTTGTCCAGGAGAGGAAGAGGACAGTCAGTGTGTCCCGCGGATACGACGCATTCATTGTAGCCAATACTACACCGGCGCGCTGGCTGTACGCTCCTGAGATAAATATCTGCGTATCTGTCACATTCTCCCCGCTCATTGTCCTGCCACAGCAACGCAACGCATGGTTCTCACCTCACACAGGAGTGCGTGTTCCTCTCACGCCCTCTAGGAAAGGGAGAAATAGTGCGTGATGAAGGTCGTGTGTGTGTTGGGGGGCCGCCGCCGCCCACCTCCCACTTCAGTTCACCGTCGACGCCCACACCGTGCACATCTCCGTCAACACACCGTCGTCCACACCTCCCACAAGTAACGTCCACACCTTTGCCACACTACCATACCCTCGCCACCTGACACTACACTAACACCACCTGAATTCCCTCATATATTTCAGTTTAATTTGGTAGTGTACTTCTAAGAAGCAGTCTGTCAAGTCTTCAAGATGTCATTATTTGTGTTATCCTGTCGCAATTAATCGGTGAATTGTTTTCAAAGGTTCTTTATAGTGATATTGCGTCATTGCCAAAACGAAATAGTTTCCAAGTGCAGACGAGGAGTCATAATACCGTGGCTGAAGATATAAAGACTAAACCACACACCAGAAGATAAGGAGACGATGACATTTCGGTCCGTCCAGGACCATTATCAAGTCGATTGTGATGGGACCAAAGAAAGCACGGGCATTACGTAAGGCAAGAGAGGGGGTTCATGAATCTTAGTCCTGGCTTTGTTGCTGTTGACTCTTCCCTCTCACAGTACATATTAAAATGCTCTAACAAACGTGACCTGACATAAGCGTTGGACCTGACATAAGCCCAGTACACACTAGTGCTCTGGGCTTCGCTGGCAGTGTTCAGAAATGTGTGTTTATATGGTGACCACCCTTACAAAGATAGAAATTACTGCGAAGAGATTGATTGATTGAAGGTTAAGCCACACAAGTGGTGGCACGGGCATGAATAGCCCGTAATGCGAAGAAATCGAATACGGTGCAATATATAAGCAAGTCTTTTTCTGAGTGTGGGTAGTTGTAGTGCGTTGTATAGTGATCACCCAGTTAATGATCACCACTCGCCAGCCCCGTGATCACCACTCTCACCACATCTGTCTGCCTCACTCATGCTATATCGTATAATATTTGTGCAACTTTCATTAGTCCTTGTGACAATTGTATTATTGACCTCTCGCCTTCCCCGGTGTGGCCGGCAGCACGGGGCAGGGACCTCCTGGTCTCAGTATACAGCAACACTCGGGGAATTGGTCGTCTGCACTTGTGCTCGGAGATACTGTACCTACACTCACCTTTTTTTGTCAGTGTGTGCGAGAACACGTATGAATGTTTCTGGGGAATTGAACTTCAACTCCTGGCCCCCCGCCTCTGATGTGTGTTGTCATTAATCCATGCTTACATTTGTGTGTGTGTGTGAAGGTTGACACCAGTTCTTCTTACCCTCATACTCCTGTTTCTCCTTTCTTCTCTGGGTTATTTGGGTGTTTAATTACCACGAGTGAGCCTGACAACTGCTCTCGGTATCTTTGTCCAAATGTGTTGCGGAGAGACGCTAGTTAGACGTGAGCAGCCTAGAGTCACCTTCGGGCCACTCAGGAAGGTAGGTGGAGGGCTTTCCTTGCTAGCGTTTGCTGAAGGATCAGACATACTTTGTAGAGGAATCAGCAAGTTGAATTACTCTATTACTCAGGGCTGAGGTGGAGCTTATAGCCATTTTAGTGATGGGTGTGGCTAGCCTTGGTTACACCATCAGTCACTATTGTCACGGGGTATAGTGAATTAAGAGACCACGTGTCCTAGTTACTCTTCATTAACCACAACAAAGTGGGTCACCGTGTACAGAGGTGTCTCGGGTGTTTATGACGGCACTACTCGCCCACTGGACACAATAATAAATCACATACACAACAATACTATTACTTTAGAGCTCTCCTAGAATGAGAGTGTAGCGCCAGGTGACTGGGGGCTCAACTGCGTAGTGACAGGTACGCACACTCACGCATGCACGGACTAGTGAGAAGGGTTGTAACATATGATGAGTGTAAGATTCTCCAAGACGACTTAAACAAGCTGCAGAGTAGGTCCGAGAAATAGCGACTAGAGTTCTGCACCAGTAGGTGTAAGGTGATGGAAATAGGAATTGGCGTCAGGAGACTGAAAGGACAGTATACGATGAAGCTAAACTACCCCTCGATAACGACTAGAGAAAAAGACCTGGGAGTGGGTATAACACCGAACCTAACTCCGGAGGCTCATACAAATAGAATAGCACATCAGCGGCACAGCAAAAGTTAGAACATTATTCAGGAGCCTAAACAAGGAGGCATTTAGATCGCCTCCTTATTTAGGTCAACCCACCTTATTAGGTGAGTTGGCGCAAGCTGTGTCTCAGGTATGGTGACACATGCCGTGTCTCAGGTATGGTGACACATGCCGTGTCTGAGGTATGGTGGGTAACACATGCCGTGTCTCAGGTATGGTGGGTGACACATGCCGTGTCTCAGGTATGGTGGGTGACACATGCCGTGCCTCCGGATGGCGGAAGCTTACATTTCTTAATTTTTACATTTAAATTTAAGATTGAGAGGAAATCTGTAATCATATCCATTATTTACTGTCATGAGTGCGTGTCCTCATCACAGTCTTACTTAGTGCGGACTGTGGTAGTGGCGTCATTCACCTCACCATCACATCTGTGCAATGCAGAACTGTTAACAACAGCGCTGTTGGCTAAGGAAGATATGGTAGTGCTGCTACCAACAGCAGCACTGCTGACAACAGCAGCGCTACGCAGGAAGCGAAACGCGGCAGTGACCCAGACGCATCATTGTCAGCCAGGGTCTGGCGTGAGAGGGGGTCGTCGGGGCACAAGGATGACGAATCCACCTCTGAGTCAGTGTGTTTGTTCCCTTGAACAACTGCTCCGGGTAGTGTTTATATCTGGTTCCCATGACAACTAGGTGCCCCCCACGTGGTCGACCTCAGCCAACAACAAAGTCGATCAATACTGCACACGCAATCACGTCTCAAGGGTGGCGGGAACGGGGCAAGGGTGGCGGGAACGGGGCAAGGGTGGCGGGAACGGGGCAAGGGTGGCGGGAACGGGACAAGGGTGGCGGGAACTTTAAACATAATGTTCACGTTATACTAAAACATTGAAATTGTACCCGTCGTGATGGACATTTTCACTTTGATTTTGTATGGAGTCCAGCCTATTCTCTAATAATGATAGTACTTATAGCAAATATTTGGTCAAACGTACGAAAGTGGACTCTTGGATCCAAAAGGTCACATTATGTATTACTGAATTAACCCAACTGGTATTCAAAGAAAATTTAAAAGTAACTAAAGAGCTTAACCTTAACTATCCAAGCAATCCTAGGTCTAATATCACTATTTTGGGCCTAATATAGTACATATCTGTGTTGTACTAAGCTTAGAAATATTGTTCGTGCCCTGTACGAAATTAATAGTCAAAATATGAACATTGTTGGGTGCATAAGTTAGTTTTTGTACGTTCAACCAAATACTTGCTATGAGTACTATGTTTATAGGAAGACATACAAATGATCTCTTTACTGTAAGTGTAAGTAATTGTGCACTTACAATTACTGTAAGTGCTGCTCTGTTTACCCGAGTGTGATCACAAATTGGTGGAGCTATATTTATTACTGACTCATTATGCTTAATATTTGATGAACTTATTTGTGATTTCGTGAACAGGTGTATATCATGTGATTGTCTCTCTCGTGCAGGTGTACCTGTACGGCGGCGAAGTGCATCTGATCCCCGTAGCGAGCTCTCCGGCCTCCCTCACATCCTTACCCTCCGGCATCCCCTCCGTCATGGACGCCGTCAGCACCGTCAAGCGCCTCCCAGACCACACCAGAGCCCCACCCAAGGTTCAGAGCGCCCTCACCCTCAGAGTAGACGGGTTAGTACTCTTCCTCTTTGTTATCATCTCTGTTCAAGTCTTATACTCGCCTCTGCATTCTCATATGTACTCGTGTATGTGTGGTTTTGTATTTTGGTTGCACGCGTGTGTGCGGAGGCGCGCGGGAAAATGTTGTGTAAGGTCATAGAACATCAAAGAAAGCGGACTGGTTATGGGTAAACTTGTTCAGCTTTATGCACCATACGGAGTGTTGAGTGTGTGTGGACCCTGTTCGTGTCGTACCCGCCCTTAAGGTTGGACAAAAAAATCCAATCTTGTGAAGACTTTTTTTCAGGGATATTCCTGCGCGGGCCCTAAGTCTCTGGCTGGCCCACTAAGTGTTGCTTGTTTCTGTTTTACTTGGGCGGAGTATGAGTATTGATGACTCGTATGGTCGCTTCAGTAAGATTTTGTCCCACGTGTTTAACAACTTCTGCTCTGTTGAATTTAAGTTGAAATCTTATTGGGTTTGTAACTCTGCACTGTGTTAGATAATGTTCCAGTGGTCTGTTGGGCATTTCTCCACAGTGCTGACATTTCCTCTCATCTTCCGGAACCTGTAAGCCTATTTCCCATGCACATGGGTATCCAAGCCTGAGTGTACTTCTGTTGTTCTACTGCTCCCTTTCATCAAACTAAGTGGTTCGTAGTTGGTTGAATTCTTGTACCAACTCGCAGATCCTGATGTTGCAACTGCTGTGTTGTGGTCACTGTACATCTTTTACATTGCTGTGTTTCTAATTACTTTCTTAATCTGTGATAGACTCTGTGGTATGTAAATGTCTATATTTCTTCTCTTAGTTGCAAGCTTTGCAGCTTTGTCTGCAATACCATTTCCTATTATTCCCACATGATTTGGCACCCAGTTGATAAGTACCCGTCGGCCTTGTCGTTTGAGTGTTTGCATTAATGATATGACATTTGTAATCAGATGGATATCACATATGTGTTCTTGTTGCAAGGTTTCAATGGCAGTTCTCGAATCTGTATGTATGATAACATGTCAGTGTTCAGCAAGAGCATGTTCCAAAGCCTTTTGAATGGCTAGCATCTCTGTTTGTAAAGTCGAACACCCATTTGAGAGTCTCCAACTATTTACAGAGTTTCTTGCTTTAACTGCAGCTCCGGTTTCTTGTCCTTGTTATTAATGATGTCGCTCTTGGTAGTCTCTGGTGAGGGTTTTTGACCTAATTATGTTGAGACTAGCAACGTCCTTTACATAACATAAAACTGTTATTTTTAGGAGGCAGCAAATTACTGCAATTTTCTAGAACACCTTTGAAGCCAGGTCAGCCGTTAGTTCATGTTTTTACCAATATAAGAACTGTGGTTTTATTTCGAAATAATTATGGCATATAATAAGAGATAACTATGGTGGGGGGGAGGGGGCTTCTTCTTGGCGGAAGTGCGGGAGAACCTTGTCTCACTTTCCCCTCCAGAGTGTGTGTACTCACCTAGTTGTGCTTGCGGGGGTTAAGCTTTGGCTCTTTGGTCCCGCCTCTCAACTGGTGTACAGAATCCTAAGCCTACTGGGTACTGTCATATCTACATGTGAAACTGTGTATGGAGTCAGCCTCCACCACATCACTGCCTAATGTTTTCCATCTGTTAACTACTCTGACACTGAAAAAGTTCTTTCTAACGTCTCTGTGGCTCATTTGGGTACTCGGTTTCCACTTGTGTCCCCTTGTTCGTGTACCACCCGTGTTAAACAATCTATCTTTATTTACCCTGTTGATTCCTCTTAGAATTCTGTAGGTAGTGATCATGTCTCCCCGAGCTCGCCTGTCTTCCAGCGACGTGAGGTGCATTTCCTGCAGCCTTTCCTCGTAACTCATGTCTCTTAGTTCTGGGACTAACCTAGTGGCATACCCTTGAACTTTTTCCACCTTAGTCTTGTGCTTGACAAGGTACGGGTTCCATGCTGGGGCCGCATACTATAAGACATGTGTCTTACATATGTGGTATACAAGGTTCTGAATGATTCCTTTCACAGGTTCCTGATGGCAGTTCTGATGCTAGCCAGCCTCGCATACTCCGCAGATGTTATTCTTTTTATGTGGGCTTCAGAAGACTTTTTTGGTGTGATATCAACTAGATCTTTCTCTCTGTCCGTTTCATAAAGGACATCATCTCCCATTCGGTATCCTGTGTCTGACCTGTTTCCACCACCTAGTTTCATGACCTTACATTTACTCTGGTTGAACTTTAGTTGTCTTCTTATTCAGTATTTGTTGAATGAATATTGTTGGTCCATTCATTCAGTTTGTCCAGGTCATCTTGTAGCCTCATACTATCTTCCTCTCTCTTAACCCTCCTCATAATTTTTGCATCATCCGCAGACAATGAGAGGAACGAGTCTATAACATATATCAGAAACGGTATAGGTCCAAGGACTGAACCCTGTGGGACTCCACTAGTGACACCTCGCCAATCTGAGACATCACCCCTCACAGTGATTCGCTGTCTTCTGTTGCTTAGGTACCCCCTTATCCAATAGAGAACCTTCCCTTTCACTCCTTCCCTCATCTCTAGCTTTTTCACTAGCCTTTTGTGTGGTACTGTGTCAAAGGCTTTTTGGCAATCCAAAAATATGCAGTCTGCCCGGCCCCTCTCTTTCTTGCTTGATTTTTGTTGCCTGGTCGTAGAATTCAATTAATCCTGTGAGGCTGGACTTGCCATCCCTGAACCCATGTTGATGCTGTGTTACAAAGTTCCTTCGCTCCAGATGTTCCACTAGCTTTTTTCGCACAATCTTCTCCATCAGCTTGCATGGTATGCAAGGTAGGGCCCAGTGTGGGTGTGTGTGTGGTGTATTTAGTATTTTTTGTTTAGCTCTTGGACCCCACCTTTCTATTAAATTTATCTTTATTATGTCTGCTACATATATTTCTCTTGCACACGTGCGCGCGCGCACGCACACATCCCCAGGTAGCAGCTGTCTAACTCCCAGGTACTTATTTACTGCTAGGTGAACAGGCTCACCAAGGTGGAAAAAACTGCCCGCTTGTTTCTGCTTCAGCCTGGGGTCGAACCCAGGCCCTTAAGACTACGACCCCAGAGCGCTGTACATTAAGCCACGAGGCCCCCCCCCTCCCCTCCGTAGACAATAGCTTATAGTCTACGGGGTCTTCTTAAGTGTTCTATTTATTTACATGCCGCACGCTGAAGACATTTCTGATATCTCTCCTTCACTTAGGTGTTTCCTTTGGAGGTGTGAGCCGTGGTACAGGTCCTCCGTCGTGTCGACCTCGCCGGTTTCCTTAAGCATCTTGTGTGCCGTGGTCATGTTCACTCTGCATTTTATTATCTAGCATTGTGAGGTTCAGCTATCCAAGAATGTTCTCATTTCTCCGCATTTTTAATCAAGATCCAACCTGAAGGACGATCTCTGGAGTTTTCCAGTCACTTGTATGCTATATGCCTGTCTTCCTTGCTGGAGCAGCACGCTCTGATGCTGGCCGGACAGATGTTGTGTGTCAGGTTCCGTCAAGGTCATTCTTCCATCGTTCAACCTTGCGTGATCCTTCCGCTTATGTTATCCGGTATATGTATGTACGCAGCTACATGGGACTGCAAGATCGAGCTTCAGCTCATTGGTCTACGCCTGTCCAGCTGTCGGTCTTGTAATCCAGAGGCTTCCAACCTACATGTGTCCTATCATATATAACTATTTAATTTTATATGTAGTTCACTACCACTACCCCCCCCCCCCCCTTGTCTGGTTCGTAATATTTGTACAACTTTTATGTGAAGGAGTATTTCCTCGCATCTCTAAAGCTCATCTGTGTCTCTAGTTCCCACCGCTTCTCCTTCTGTTCTTATTCACTCTAGATACTGACTCGCAGTTAAGTGTAATTTCCTCAACCTTGTGCTTCTGGAGGTGTGGACGGCGCCGGGAAGGTTGGAATGCCTTCTTCGTAAGTTTCCAAAAGACAGTCCGGATGTTCGCCAGTTTCGCAAATTCCTCTTGCATTATAATATATATATGTTTCTGTAGTAATACTTGCTTTTATATGTACTCAATATTTGGTGTTGATTGTGGTAGGAAGCTTCCCTTCCGTAGCCTGATCTGCTGCTCCCTGCGTCGTCACTTTACATTTGCTGTAATTATGCTGCAGTTACCTGTTCTCACCCAACTCTGCAGTCTGTCTTGGTCATTCCGGATTATTCTGCAATTTTCTTTCGTCCCAACTCTTCCCGTTAATTTTGTGTTGTCTGCGACCTTTGATACGGAGGGTTCTACTGCCAACCTTGAGGTTACCTCGAGGGTAACCTCAAGGTTGGTAGTTTCGAAACTACCAACTACCTCGAGGTAGTTTCGAGGCTTAGCGTCCCCGCGGGCCGGTCCTCGACCAGGCCTCCTCGTTGCTGGACTGGTCAACCAGGCTGTTTGATGCGGCTGCTCGCAGCCAGACGTATGAGTCACAGCCTGGTTGATCAGCTGTGTGCCAAGGTCAGGTCAGGCATATCATATTTTCTAGATCAGATCCTTCGGGTCAGCGAGTGTGACCCAGCACCAGTCAGGTTCATCCCTCCCCCCCTCACTGTGAGTGTCTGAGTGTGTTAGTTACGGCTTCAACCACTCCAGTGCTCTCGCGCCTACTCTCCCCACCACCACACAAACCCCAGTGCTTGTCACGGTATAAGACAAAACACTAATCACCATGACCGGGCACCGTCCACTCTCCCCATTACTTACCCTCGCCCCCGTCCCCCCTCCCTCCAGTTCCAGACGGTGCCAGCTGGTGTGTGATTATACCGTCCACAGTGAGCTGTGGGCGGGTCTCCTTGACGGAGGAGCACCCTGGCCTGGCAAGTGAGAGGCGACGCTATGTTTGGGCAGGTGACCCGGCCGAGGCTGGCTGCCCCACTGCTGGCGGAGGCTACGAGCTAAGAATAATGAAAGATGGTAGCATGCTGCCGAGTTCCTCTCTGAAGTCCATTTTAGGTTGAAGTCGAAGGTGGAGATTTTCTCTTTTAAGGTAATATATAAATGAAGTGAAGGAGGGACGTTAGCAGGCAATCCTCGTGCACATTATTGGCACCTGCCGCCCCTTGTCTTGTATCCCGGCGCCCCCCCCCACACAACCTCTTACAAATTAAGGACAATTTTGTTTTTGTTTTCTGTACATGTGTAATGATAATTATATATGACCTTAGATTTTTATCTTATGATGTATAGTAATTGGTTGCCAATTACGGTGTTTCTGCTGGCGGCTGTTGTGGTGCTTCCTGAGTCACGGGTCACTGCTGGCGGCTGTTGTGGTGCTCCCTGAGTCACGGGTTACTGCTGGCAGCTGTTGTGGTGCTTCCTGAGTCACGGGTCACTGCTGGCAGCTGTTGTGGTGCTCCCTGAGTCACGGGTCACTGCTGGCGGCTGTTGTGGTGCTCCCTGAGTCACGGGTCACTGCTGGCAGCTGTTGTGGTGCTCCCTGAGTCACGGGTCACTGCTGGCGGCTGTTGTGGTGCTCCCTGAGTCACGGGTCACTGCTGGCGGCTGTTGTGGTGCTCCCTGAGTCACGGGTCACTGCTGGCGGCTGTTGTTGTGCTTCCTGAGTCACGGGTCACTGCTGGCGGCTGTTGTGGTGCTTCCTGAGTCACGGGTCACTGCTGGCGGCTGTTGTGGTGCTCCCTGAGTCACGGGTCACTGCTGGCGGCTGTTGTGGTGCTTCCTGAGTCACGGGTCACTGCTGGCGGCTGTTGTGGTGCTTCCTGAGTCACGGGTCACTGCTGGCGGCTGTTGTGGTGCTTCCTGAGTCACGGGTCACTGCTGGCGGCTGTTGTGGTGCTTCCTGAGTCACGGGTCACTGCTGGCAGCTGTTGTGGTGCTCCCTGAGTCACGGGTCACTGCTGGCAGCTGTTGTGGGGCGGAGCTCCCTGAGTCACGGGTGGCACCTGGCATTTTAGTCCCAGTGTCATAACGTTACTTTAAACTGAGATAATTAAAGGCTTCGTGACGTTCGTGAAAGACATTACCTCGGAGACTTTACTGTGTAGTACAGTCTAGGGAACCGTGAGTGTTCCTCACCTCTCGTGTGTGAGTGTCTCTCTCATCATCTGTGCGAAGTCAAGACAAATGGAAAATACAAGTCACTGGGAGAATAATGAGGATGATGATAGTGATAAAAAGTAACAATTATGATAGCGGTGAGGACTATAATAATGACATTTTATGAAGGTGTTCAACAGCCGCCCGGGTAATGGCGGTCAGGTCTGATGGCCACTGGACCCGCTGATACAGTTTGTAACCGTTTACTGAAGGCGTGTTCTAACTACCTTGGTTCCGAATAGCTATAGGTGTTAGGTCAGCTGGGTGGCCGTGGCAAGTGGTTCAGTGTTTCTCTGGCCTGGAGGTCATTAGAGTTCCGCTTGTGAAGCCCGTGTTGGGGCGGGAGGCGAGCAGACCTCCCCACAGCCCGCCATCTTCCAAGGATAAACTCTATTGTCTTGGTGGTTCACAAGGCTTTTCGCCTTGCTCTTCCTGCTAGGGGGGTCGAGTCGATATTGTCAAATTAACCCAAAGTTTAGATCATTGTTTATACGGCGGTAATTACCTCGTTGTTACTGTTCTGGTCAAATGATCTGATAAAACAACTAATTCTTCTGACAGGGGGAGCACTCGCCTTGACATTTTTTTTTTTATTATTATTATTTTCTACCACAAACGTGGCCACACATTTACAATGCTAACCAGCATATATACATTTTCTTCTGTCCTCCATGGACAGGGTTAGAGATGTGTTAAACATATAGTTCAAGGGTTTATTGGCCTTGAGACATGTGCGACGCCCTTAACACTTCCCGCCCTCCCACAGGTACCCCGGGAAGATCAGCCGGGAGCAGCACGTGGCCCACGCCTTCGTTCCGGTCGGCGTGGCCGCCCTGCTGAGAGAGTACCCATCCCTGGTGGGCCACGCCGTCCACGCCTTCTGCAGGAGGGACCTCGTTGACAACAAGGTGGGTATAGTTATTGTTGCGCTGGGTGCCCGTACTCCGGTCGGTGATGGGGGCCACGTTTAGTGCTGTATTGGGTGCCAAGCTTAGTGCTGTACTGGGTGCCAAGCTTAGTGCTGTACTGGGTACGGGTTGGGTGTCAAGCTTAGTGCTGTACTGGGTACGGGTTGGGTGTCAAGCTTAGTGCTGTACTGGGTACGGGTTGGGTGTCAAGCTTAGTGCTGTACTGGGTACGGGTTGGGTGCCAAGCTGTAACGGCTGGATGGGTGCTCGGTTACAGCAACAGCCTGTTCGACCAAGCTCTCACGAGTCAAGCCTAGACTCGGGCCGGGCTTGTGGAGTAGAACTCCCAGAACCCCATCAAGCATGTCAGAAAGCTATATTCCGAGTATAGTACCCATAGCTATTGACTACTCTACGTGTGGTCTGTGAACTAAGCTTAAGTCGTCATTGATAGCGTTGTTGAATTTGATTGTTGCCGCCGAAGGCGGCTAGTTTATTGTGCACCCCATACTCATCCTGTGAGCGGTAGCGCAAAAAAGCATTACAGAGGGCACAAAAGGTCTTTATCAGACCTCATCTTAGATTATTACATAAACAATTTCATCTATCCTTCACACCTTATTGTTAGATGTCAGCCAGTTAGAGAATGTTCTATTTCAAGAGCTATATATTTACAGTACGTCACTATACATTGTTAACTCTGTTCCTGGCACCTAAATGTTGGTACTGGATTGTTTACACTTGACTGTTGTCACTATATTGCTGGTAATGGAGTACTGGTACTGGATTTAGGACGCTGGGTAATTGGTACATGAATGAGAGCATGCGATGATTGAGACAGGATTTCAGACTTTTAAGTTTTAATATAAGATAGTGGGATTGACACCCACTATACGATGTCAACTTATGGAAAATAAAAGTTATACTAGAACAAAATATTATTATTTTGTGGTCAGTCTTAACGGTAAACTAGTCTTGTAAATTATTGACTCTTGTGAACCATTGATTCTACAGTTGTTGGTTGTTGTTCACCTGTATGATGGGGTTCTGGGAGTTCTACTCTCCAAGTCCGGCCCGAGGCCAGGCATGACTTGTGAGTGTTTGGTCCACCAGGCTGTTGTTTGACCTCTGTGATGTAGATGGGGACGGGCAGGCGAAGAACAGATGAAGAGGCGAGTTTGTAAAAGGAAAAAACAGAGAGAGAGAGAGAGAGAGAGAGAGAGAGAGAGAGAGAGAGAGAGAGAGAGAGAGAGGGGGGAGTAGGGAGGAAGGCCGTCCTTGCGCTGTGGTTGGTGGTGAGTATTAACCAGTTGGTCATGGCAGGACTGCTAGCCTCACTTCCTCCTCCTGCGGCTTGTCACCACCACTCACCCCCCCCCCCTTAATACCCCCTCACTTCCTCTCCCCCTTCCCCACACCTCTCCTGCTAGCCCCTTCCACTTTTTCCTAATCTTTGGTTGTCATTGCTCTATACAATTCAAGATTAAATACTGACCAAAAGCTCCCTAAATAATAATAATAATAATAATAATAATAATAATAATAATAATAATAATAATAATAATCAAATAAAGACCCTCAAACAGAACACAAAATATACACCAGCATGTGAGTGTATATATATATATATATATATATATATATATATATATATATATATATATATATATATATATATATATATATGGATGCTACACAGTATTCATCTGGCCAGGCCGGACAGATGGCCTGGAGACAAACCAGGAGAGATGGACAAACGGAGCCGGTGGCTGAGCAGACAGAACACTGGACGCATGATCCTGTGGTCCCGGGTTCGATCCCGGGCGCCAGCGAAAAACAATGGGCAGAGTTTCTTTCACCCTGATGCCTCCTGTTACCTAGCAGTAAATAGGTACCTGGGAGTTAGTCAGCTGTCACGGGCTGCTTCCTGGGGGTGGAGGCCTGGTCGAGGACCGGGCCGCGGGGACACTAAGCCTCGAAATCATCTCAAGGTAACCCATATATGCTGAAATACATATGAGCAACCTCACAAACACGCTTAGCTATCTAACATAAGTAGATAAGATAGAAGAAAAATAGGTTGCGATTCAGTACATTAGACAACCGACGGTTAAAAAGGCGGGGACCAAGAGCTAATAGCTGGATCCTGCAAGCACAAATAGTAAATATATGGTGTCAGCAAGGCGGACAGACCGCCTGCTATCACAACAACACTATATTTCCCATTTATGTAACCTCTCCATCTTTTTTACTTAAAGAAAAAATAACACTTCATGTATTTCAGTGAAGACGTTAATAAGTCCCCTCTACTCCGTCCAATGACACCGGGCACTCCTCTCACAAAGTCCACCCCGTACCTTAAGCCTTATTTCACCTCTTCGCTAGAGCTGGGTCATATACACATCAAACCTGTGTCTTGAGAGACAGGTTTGAGAACGAGACTGAGCACAAAATAATAATAAACAATTCTAGTATAACTTATATCTTCTATAAGTTGACATGGTATAGTGGGTGTCAGACAGCTGTGTCCACCGGCTCGCTTGCTTGCAGTCTCTATATATTTTCACATTTCTTCATTTTTTAATTTTCTTCATTTCTTCGTTTCCTTCATTTCATCTTTTCTTCGTCTCCTCGCCTGCACCTCGTCAGGTCCAACAGTCAATGGTCGATATTGTCATCAGCGCAGTTAGAAAAAACACATCCCACAATTCTTCAACCTAACAGCACATGCAAGAAGTATTCTGCGTAAATTGCTTTGAAATCTTCAGGAGGGAATTTGGCAAGTTTCTACAAAAAAAGTAGATGATCAGCCGAGTTGTGATGGCTAGGCGGGCCCTCGGGTCCAGCAATACCTTCACTAATCAGGAGACACTGGCCTGGGGCCAGATTCAAGAAGCAGTTACGCAAGTACTTACGAACGTGTACATCTTTCCTCAATCTTTGACGGCTTTGGTTACATTTATTAAACAGTTTACAAGCATGAAAACTTCCCAATCAACTGTTGTTATTGTTATAAACAGCCTCCTGGTGCTTCGGAGTTCATTTAACTGTTTAATAGTTGTAAACAAAGCCGCCAAAGATTGAGAAAAGATGCACAGGTTCGTAAGTGCTTGCGTAACTGCTTGGTGAATCTGGCCCCAGGGCTCAAGTCTGCGAGAGTGTAAAACGAGACCAGACAAACGTAAACAATAGAAACCAAAGACTCCAACATTCTACTCAATATATAAGTAAATGATTTTAAAGAGTAGGTTGAGAGGTTGTTGCTGGCTGTCAGACCAGCAGGGTTGTGACCGCTGTGTACACTTGTTGTATGCACACATGACATACCCTGGGGCCTGACAGCTGAGTGGATAGCACTTCGGATTCGTAGTTCTGAGGTTCCGAGTTCGATCCCCGGTGGAGGCGGAAACAAATGGACATAGTTTCTTTCATCCTGATGCGCCTGTTCACCTAGCAGTAAATAGGTACCTGGGAGTTAGACAGCTGCTACGGGCTGCTTCCTAGGGATGTGTAACAAAGAGGAGGCCTGGTCAAGGACCGGGCCGCGGGGACGCTAAGCCCCGAAATCATCTCAAAATAACCTCAAGATAACCCCTGACTGCTTGTGCAGTCAGCAGGGAAGCCTAAGCTGCAGGAGAAGAAAAACTCTAAAGTGGCTGCAGGTAAACTTCGGTTAACGTGATTATAAGGACGTGATTATAAGGCCATCCCGGTATAATGAGTACTATTGTTTACATACGACCAGTGTGAAAACAACGGGAGCGGAATGTTTCATTCATTGCAACTTCACCAAAGAAGAGAAGAGTGTAGTAATGACTAACATTGTCACAGAATGAGAGGGTAATGCAAGCGGAATTATAGTGTGTTTTGTGCTTCACGTCAATGAGTGCTGGCCACGGCACGAGCGTAATTATGGGAGTCCGGCCACAGCCATCAGGTGACACGACTCTCTGGGCTCGTCTGTGCTGGGGGAGAGGGGGGGTGTAACTGTGGAGGAGGAAGGGTATAGTATGGAGGAAAATTGTATAAATGGGTAATAGATTAAATTATGAAATCTAGCTACAGATGTCGTCGGTAGGGTTGGGGGGTGTCTTTGTGAGGGCTGCAGATGTCGTCGGCAGGGTTGGGGGGTGTCGTTGTCAGGGCTACAGATGTCGTCGGCAGGGTTGGGGTGTCGTTGTGAGGGCTGCAGATGCCATTTAACATAGGACAACTGTGTTTATCCTCGGCACTGTCTCTGTAACTAGCTGACATTGTAACTATAAGGTGTGAAGGATAGATGAAATTGTTTATGTAATAATCTAAGATGAGATCTGATAAAGACCTTTTGTGCCCTCTGTAATGCTTTTTGCGCTACCGCACACAGGATGGGTATGGGGTGCACAATAAACTAGCTGCCTCCGGCGGCAACAATCTAAACAAAAAATCATCGGCCCTATGATGCTCACTCTTCCTGTTCACTTACTCTGCTTCCGTCCAGTCTATATAACTGTAGTTGACTTGTGGTCGATTTCAAGAGTTATTATACCCCCCCCCCAAGCCTGTCCTGGAGTTGAGGCTTGTCTGGTGATAACTTGATCGGTCAGACTGTTGCTTGCAGTCGCCCGCAGACCCACACATTCCTTACAACCCAGCTGATACAGCACTTCCTTCAGGAATCTGTCTAATTACCTCTTGAAAACATCCATTTTTATTCTGGCCATATTTCTTATATATAATGGGAGGAGGTTGAAGAGCCGTGGGTCACTGATGCTCAGTACTCTCTTACTGTTCTCGAACGCTTCACTGGCTCTGTTCTGAGATATATAGATGTTTCCTACCATATGTTTCACTCCAGTAAGCTGCTACTTTATTGTGTTACTTTATTGTGCATATTTCGGACCTGACCTTCGAATATCTTTCAATCTTTCATGTTTATATTATATGTGATAGCGCTCTCATCTCTCCTCTCTTAAGGAAAAACTGAGTACCGACCAGTAGTCAAGGAAGGAAAGCACAAGTGATTTAAGAAGTAGAGGGATTATGGTGGCCTCCCTTGGTTTGAAAGTTCTCATAATGCACTCCATTATTTTCCTTGGTGATGCTATGTTTGATGTGCTACGTTTACTAAACGTTAAGTCGTCTGATATCATTATTACTAGTCACTTTACGTGTCGTTTCCGTTTTTAAAGATCGGATTGCGACTTATATCATGTATCCAGTTAAAGATTCTTGTTTTTCCTCCCTTGCCTTAACATCTGGAGTTTATCATTGTAAGCACGGCTCCTCTGAGGAAACACATAACTGTCAGGTTTTTATAAACTCCGGATACAACAACGCGGAAATGTGTGGCCGTGACCGTGTCTCTCGCTCACAAATGTGTTTCCGGGAAAAAGGGGAAATCATAGTCCGTGCACGCGCGTGCTGCAGGGGAGGGGATGCCTCCGATACTGCTACAGCTGTCGCTGCCACTGCTACAGCTGTCGCTGCCACTGCTACAGCTGTCGCTGCCACTGCTACAGCTGTCGCCGCCACTGCTACAGCTGTCGCCGCCACTGCTACAGCTGTCACCGCCACTGCTACAGCTGTCGCCACAACTACAGCTGCCAGTATTAGTGAACGTGTTTTCGCTGCAGACTTCAGAGCCCTTTTTCTCGACTGCTGTGCAGTACATGCAGCATTGAGTGGGGGATTTTTATTTTGCTGTATAGATAAGACACTCTGGTCAAACTGTTCATGCACACAAATAGGAGCCGTGATGAGAATCCTCATCACGGCTCCTATAGATATTCTCACTGATACATCACGTTGGTGTGATTTCTCTGTGTAATGCATTTAGAGGTGATTGTATGATGTTGATGGGGATTATTATCACTTAACGATAATTATTGTTCAAAATAATATATACCTGATTAAATGAATGACTGATAAATATTTAGTGGCCAGATATAGAATATATGTATAATCTTTGCTGTCTGTTTCACCTTAATGCTTAGAAATCCAGGCAGCCTTTGCCAGTTGGCCTCTTCAATCTCTAGTTGAGGTAAGAGGAATACATACAAAAAAGGTTTCTCCCCAGTTGCTTCCCATGGTTCACTTTCTCCACTGTATTCTCCTCCCATCATAATATCATCTCTCTTATTGCACATTACTCCTTTAAAATGTAGATAGATACATATATGTGTTTTGTTTCAGGTGTTACGTGTGATGCGTCATTTCCCCCCCGAGACCCGCGTAATGACTGCCGTACGCTTCAGCAAGGCCCTGTACGCCCAGGTGTTAGCGAACCGCTACACACCTGACGTCCGCACTGGCTGGAACCTTCCTTCACCGCTACACCCTCAATTTAAAGCCCATGATATAGGCATAAAGCTGGTGAGATCAATTTCTACGTGGTGATTTTTTGTCTAGAAGTTCAGGCATCAATTTAAGAAACCCGAGTTAATGATGTACTTAACAAATCTAGTAAGATATTTTGCAATATTTCTTCATCAAATTGTTTTAAATGCATTATTATGAAATGTGTAATATCTATTTTTACTGACGGCTGGCAGGCGTGTGGATTTGAACTGTTAGTGTGTAGTGCTGGGGGTGTGACACCGGTCTCTTCGCCCTCGGAATCCTCACCTGACCCCACTTCACAGCTTGATCTAACAACCAATCCTCGCTGGGCACGCTATCGCCAGTCTCTCACTGAAAAAGGCTATTTTCGGGTAGGTACCAGTACTTATCATTTTAAGTGTTTTGATTAATATAATACAGATGTACAACACAGTATGTGCACTCCCCCCCAAAACACCCCCCCTCAACCACCACCCCCCCTTCCTCCCTACTAATGAGAAAGGAATGGAGTTTCAAGGAGATGGTTATCCCGGGCTGCAAGGGATTCAGAGACTAACAGGGGCCATGATAATGGGAGGACCAAGAATAGTAGTAGCAGTGATATATAACCCTCCACCCAATGACAATGACAATGCTTCGTAATTACAATTATTACTTAACCTATTATAGGTATAGGTTAAGTAATAATTGTAATTACGAAGCAATTACTTAACCTATACCTATAATAGGTTAAGTAATAATTGTAATTACGAAGCAATAAGATGCTTATCTTAACATACGAAGAAGGTTAGGTAAGGTCGGTGTTTTCTATGAAGCTTTTCAAGGTAAACTAGTATGTTTGGTATGTCAAATATGCACATATTTAATAAGTCAATATTGACTGTACGAAAGTGCAAGAACGGGTTGTGTTGGGACATGACCAGTGGTTCTGTGTGTTGTTGGTCATGTCCCTTTCATTCCTGTTTTGCTACTTGCCTTCTTAGTTGCTCATCTTCCTTCTACGCTCTTGTCCCTGGCAGTTGATGTTGGGGCTTTTCCTCTGGTCTTTTCTTGTGTTTTTCTGTTTTCTCATTTTATCCTACACGTGGTTGTGTGTTTTCTTTGTGCCTTTTGACTTTCCTATTGCCAGGTTTGGGTTCCTGGTTTTCTGGCTTACCCAGCCTGTTGGTGTTTTCACGGTCTCTCGGTTTCCCTTCTCTAGACTCGCGCGTCGGGACTGTCGTCTCCGATCTCCCGGAGGGCGTGCGGGCGTTGGGATGTTTTTCTGGTTGGCGGACGTTCCATCTCCTCCTTTGCCGGCTTGGGTTTCCGGCTCTGTTGGCTCCTTGGGTGCACCCGAGATCTTCCCACGGCTCTGCCTCTTCCTAGGCTCGATTGGCCATGTCGGAGCCGGTTCGGTTCTGCCTCGAGTCTTTCACCTTCTGTTGGTGGTCGGGTGGCTTCTTTGATGGTGTCCCACCTGCGTGCTTCTTCTTGGCGGCAGTGTTGGGTTTTTGGCGGTCCTTCCTTTTCCTTCTGTCCCTTCATTGGTAGCTGCATTTGTTGGTGCGGTCTTGTCCTCTTGTGCAGGTTTGGGGCCATCATCTTGTCCCATATTGTTGCCTTGTATCGTGCGGCGCTGGCAGAGCCGCATCAGCTTGCTTTCAGTATTGATGTTACTTCTGCGCCGTTTCACAGGCTGTCTCGTGTATCGTTTTGCTTCTGGTCTGCTCTTGCACCGCCTGAGCTGTTCTGGTCATTGGACAGTGTGCTCTTTTCTTTCTTCTCCTCAGTTTGTTGTGGCCCCTTCGGTTCAGGATTGTTCTCCAAGGCTCCTTTTCTGTTGGCATTGGCCTCTGAGGTCGGGTTGGAGAGCTTCATGCTCTCCTCGGGCGCAGGGGTTTTCTGCTCTTTTGGTCTTCGTGATGGTTTTGTTTGTCTGCAGCCGTTTCCATCTTTTCTGGTGGAGAATGAGACTGCTGCTTTCTGGAGGGGTCCCTGTGTTGGTGATGCTTGGTTGGTTGGGCTGGGGATGCATCATGTTTTGTGTCCGGTGGCGGCTCTTAGTTGTTTTTCCACACCACGGCTTCTGTGTCCGGGGACGCGCTTTGGGTTGATCCAGTTTCTCTTCTTCGCTGTTCGCGGGTGCGGGTCTCCCAGGTCATCTGCAGAGTTCTTCAGGCTAGCCGGCCTGCGGTCTGTCCCCGTGCCCATGATGTTCATACGTTCGCTGCTCTTGCTGCCATCCTTGGCACCATGTCTTGGGCTGCCATTCAGGCATGGGGCTTTTGGCGGTCGAACAGGGTCTTGGCTGCTCATTACCGTGGGCATGTCCTGGGGCCTCATCAGGCCTGTGTCGTTTTGGGTCGGCGGTTGCAGCCATTTGTCTTGACTTCGCATTAGTGGAGTGAGTGATGACCGCCTCCTGGGTACGTCCCTCAGTTTTTCCTCTGTGGGTAGTTAACTCTGGTGAGCCGAAGGGGCTTCCCTCAGAAAATCAGCGTTGAATGTAATGAAATGCCATTTTCTGGGTGAGACCCGAAGGCTCCCCGGCATCCCTCCATTCCCCCTGGTCGGCGTTTTTATCGTGTGTTTTCACATCCAGCCTCAGAACTGATGGGTGGATAGCTGGTGTGAGGGGTCTGGGGCTCCCCCTTCCCCCTCCCAGGGAAGGGGGGAGCTGCGCAGACAGCGGCACGGCGACGTGTGATGTCATGATTGTTTGCTCGTTTCTTTTAGGGGAGTTCTATCCACTTGTTCGGCTTTAGGTAGCAATAATTACACCAGAATAGGGGTTTGTTTTGGGATGCTTACTTTTCTGGGTGCCTGAACCGGTCGATGGCAAACATAGAATGCTTCCAACCACACGGGGGTTTCTATAGGCCATTGCTTCCCATGCCTCTCTGAGGAGACGAGGTTCTGGCTCGTGGTCCCTGGTAGGCCCACAGAACCCCATACACATAACTGATGCCAAAGTCTGACACTAGCATATCAGCCTAGTAAGCTCTGGGGAGCCTCCGACTCTCGCCCAGAAAATGGCATTTCATTACATTCAACGCTGGTTTTTTGGAAAAACAGCGCCATCTATTGCATGTAAAAGTAACACACGCTATTACGGCTGCTTTGCTAAATGACCTAAATGTGTTACGATTCCGTTTCAATGTTTCCGATTGCATTTATAAATTGAATTTTCATAGATTCCGATTTATTTTCATTTTGATTTAATTATTTTGTGTGACATTGCGTTGGAATTGAGCTGTGTTGTTTACCATACCGTTCATTTTGTGTGTATAGTTTATTTTTTAATTTTTTAATTTTTTTCATGTTGTTTTTATAACTGTTCTTATTTTTCAGTGATGGGAACATCAGATCATTTGATGTTCCCATTTTTCTGATGGGAACATCAGATCATATGGGAACAGATCAGACAATGGAGTGGGGAATGGTGGGAGGATTAGAGGATGGAAGTGGGGAATGATGGGGAGGATGAGGGGCTGAGGGAGGGGGTAATAGTGCTTGGATTCCATGTATAAGATCACAAAATACATGGAATTCCACCTGGACAACATGGTTTCAGAACAGGGCGCTCCTGCCTATCACAGTCGCTAGACCACTATGATATGGCATTAGATGCCATGGGAGACAAACGAAACGCTGATGTAATTTCCACAGATTTCACAAAACCCTTAAACAAATGTGATCATGATGTTATTGCACACAAATTGCATTCAAAAGGAATTATTGGAAAAATAGGCAGATGGATCTACAATTTCCTGACTAAGAGAACCCAATGTGTAATAGTCAACAAAACAAAATCTGTTCCATCAACCGTGAAGAGCTCAGTCCCCCCAGGGTACTGTGCTTGCTCCAGTAGTTTTTCTCGTCCTCATATCGGACATAGACAAGGACACAATCTATATAGTACAGTACTGTATCTTCCTTTGCAGACGACACTAGGATTTTTATGAGAGTAGACAACATAAAGGACATGGCAAACCTTTAATCAGATGTAAATTAGGTCTTGCTATGGGCTACAGAAAATAATATGGTGTTTAACGAAGATTAGTTCCAGCTCCTACGCTACTAAAAAAATGAAAATATATAAACGGAAATCACGTACAAAACTCAATCAAATCATAACATAGAACGAAAAGACAATGTAAAGGATTTGGGTGTACGTACTCATGTCGGATGACCCTACCTTTAAAGAACACAATAAAGTAGCCGTTACCACTGCAAGAAAAATGACAGGTTGGATAACAAGGACCTTTCACACTAGAGATGCTATACTGATGATGATACTTTTCAAGATATAAGTGCTCTCTAGAGTGGAATACTGTTGCACAATGACAGCCCCTTTCAAATCTGGAGAAATTGCTGACCTGGAGAGCGTGCCGAGATCCTTTACTGCTAGAATCCACTCAGTAAAACATCTAAACTATTGGGACGCTCCCAATAGTTTAGATGCGTCGGTGTCTTTTTTTTCTTGTGCACAATAAAAATGCATTATCATATTATATACTGTACCTATATATTACTACTGTACTCAAAAATACTGTGTTACATTTATTTTTTACCTTATTGTTGGAGTTATGTCCATCTTAAAGTCTCATGGAGTTGTGAATGCTGTACCGTAAATACATACTGTAGTGTATTATGTCATTAGCACTGTGTTGATTAAGTAGTTCTGCTGTATGTTGAGTACTACAATACTGTTTATGAAAACTATTGTTCACTAAAATTACTGCAACTTTAATTTTAACACTATATACACACTTAAATTTAACACTTGTTCTAACTGTTCATTCCACACACGATGTTTTTAGATGTTTGCATCATCTTTGCTGGTGCTCGCTGCTGCTGTGTTGGCTTCAGCTGCTTCTGAGCTGTTGCATGCTGCTGTTATACTGCTGCTGGGTACGACTGTGCTGGTGCTGGGTACAGCAGTGCTGGTGCTGGGTACGGCAGTGCTGGTGCTAGGTACGGCAGTGCTGGTGCTGGGTACAGCTGTTCTGGTGCTGGGAATGGCTGTGCTGGTGCTGGGAACGGCTGTGCTGGTGCTGGGAACGGCTGTGCTGGTGCTGGGTATGGTTGTGCTCGTGCTGGGTACGGCTGTGCTCGTGCTGGGTACGGCTGTGCTCGTGCTGGGTACGGCTGTGCTCGTGCTGGGTACGGCTGTGCTCGTGCTGGGTACGGCTGCGCTGGTTGATTTTCTGCTACTAATTTGTGAAAAATATTGACTCATTTTTGTTTGTTTCCTTCCTTTTGGCATGTCCTTGAGACAAATATTTTTCATCATCCTTAGGTGTTGATAAAAGCTGGTGGGTTATTACGATTATTCTTCCACGTGTTGACAAATACGTCACTCGCAGACTAAGTTAACGGCACTGGTTGCCTACTGTATGAATGCAGACTAGGTCTATACACCCTGCAGTAGGCTGATGTTTAAGCCAGATCCAGTAACATAAATTTCTCTCAAATACTGGATTTACATCAAATTATATATTTTTGGGTTATATATTTTGTTTAGTAACATTGTTAGGCTAATAAGAGATATAAAAAACTTATTTTAGAACTGATTTATTAATTTTATTATTTCGAGGTCGTAGGTCACTGAACTGTGGGGACGAAATCGAACGAAACACGCATGGTGCTCTGTGTACAAGGATTAGACCCATCCCCTTATGCTGTTGTTATTGTTCCAATAACATAAATAATTTCTCAAATTAGCAGATGTCTATCATATTACAGCATATTTTTGAAATACAGTTTTATTTAGTTTAGTTTAGTTTAATTAGGATAATAAAAAGCTTTTAAAACACTGGTTTTAGAAATGATTTATTAATCTGAAACTTTCAATGTCATGAGTCACTGAACTATGACGACACAGACGAAGGAAAAGCAAGTGAGATTTACAGTACAGTATTTCCTTATCTGTCCACCCTCACTCATCTTGTTTCATGACAGAAGATGTCTAAGGAGATTTTACTACATGTAGCTAGCTAATCACACTTCAGCCTTTAAATTAATTTACAAAGATACGTGTGCCACAAATCGGTGAACAAAAATGGAAACTCAGTTGTTTACTTGTGTGGACCACTCTGGCTGATGTTTGGTTAATATGCTTCACTTGTTATGTGGACCATTCTGGCTGGTGTTTGGTTCACTTGTTGTGTGGTCCACCTGTGTGATCCAACTTGTCTTATGAAGGAATTATTAATTGTAATCTGTGATAGAATGGGAAAGTTTTTCACCACTCTGTGAACTCTGTCCCAACATCGTAAGCTTGTGGACCACTTATGGTCCATTTGTATGGTCCACATGTGTGGTCCACATGTGTGATCGTACTTGTGTAGTTCACTTGTGTGATCCAACTTGTCTTATGAAGGAATTATTAATTGTAATCTGTGATAGAATGGGAAAGTTTTCCACCAGTCTGTGAACTCTGTCTCGACATCGTAAGCAAATCCGAACATCCCCCACTTTGGCGAACCATTGTTCGTCGAACCGGTGAGTAAATCCAGCCTGAAAAGTGTGCAAACTAGCCAGAGATTCATTGAATCAGGGTACATTGAATCGAGGTTGTACTGTAGTTTCAAAGCATTATATGACCAAGAGTGCCGGGAAGACGGGACACCACGGCGTAGCTCTTATCCTGTAACTACACTTAGATAATTACACACACACACACAGTGGAACCTCATTCTACGAATGCAATAGAGTATGAATTTTTCACTGTACAACAACAATTTTGTTGCAAAATTTGACTCAGTGTACGATGTTTGCTCTGGAGTATGACTCACTTGTTGATACTTGGGTTCAGGCGCCTGGATTCTGAGTGGTGCGGGGCAAGGCAAGGCAAGGCACCCTTAGTTTACCAGTATATCCCACCTAATGATGACTGTGCTTGAATTCTCTGTGAAGAATTTAATTGTTTTTGTGCTTTTTTTCTTTCTGAACTTAATTTTTTTTATTATATATCATACCATGGGTTTATCAAGCACCGAATAACTCCTATCCTTTCGCAAGGAGCAGCAACAAGAGACAGCTGAGCAAATTTCTTCAGGGAAGGAGGAGGCAGTAGAGGATGTTCCTTCCTCATTAATTTAGAAAATGTGTGCAGTATGGGAAGAACTGCAAAGTTTTGCTGAAAAGACTTGCCCAGATAAAGCAGTAGTAGACCGTTGTATTAACCTTTTTGATGACAATATGATGTCTATCTACAGACAAGTGTTAAAATGTAGCAAAACACAAGTGTCTTTAGATTCTTAGTGAGACAAACAAGCAGTGAGCCACACCTAGGTCCTAGTTGTATGCATACAAAATGTAGGATAGAGAGAGTACCACAGAAATGTCATCCCAGCCTGTTATAATGGAAGGGGACTCCCCTTCCAAACACTTAACACCTCTTCTCCCCCCCCCCTCCTGTTCATCGTCTTCCATATGCCAACAAAAGTCCTCAATAAAGGTAAGGTAGAGTTAAAAAAAAAAAAGTAGTATTCTGTATAAAATGTATTTTTAAGTTAATATTTTTAGGTGTATGGATCAGATTAATTAGGTGTACGAATATTTGGTTTACTATCTGTCTCTTGTAATGGAATAAATTCATAGACCTATCTACGAATTTAAAGTAACTATCTCCATTACTTTAGCAATCATGCCAAAAACGTAAAAAGTAATGTTGCGTCGGGTCTTTCCTTAACCACTGCACTGCTTTGCTGTAAAATACGACACACTTTTGATGCTCCGAAAATAAATTCTTGACAAAAAAATTATTTTCTCTTCTTATATTGTTAAAATGCAGTCTCTGATCAATATTGTATGTGACATACTTTAGCCGCGATGGAGCTGGAAAGTTGAGCATATTATGGGAGCTGAGCGATGGAGCGCTCAAGAGCACTATGCCTAGCCACCCCGTGGGGCGGCAATTGCCACAAATATAATGTTTCACAATTATTTTGATGTTTCTCATTCGTTTCTTCTCTGGTTTTATGCTGTAATATTATTCAAAGGTGTGTAATTTGTGGAATTTATATAGGTCAATGTGTGAAACATCGATATGCTCAAAATTAGGGGGGCTCATATATTTGACATGTATATTATATTCTACGATCAGAGGTTCACGTCCAATGAATATCTCTAGGTCCTCCAAAATATCAAGACAGGCACTTCTGCAGTTCTCCCAATCTGCTGTAGAATGAAGTCCTAATCCATCATCAGTGATGTTTCACCATTGATTCCACGGAGACACGTGTAACTTCTCTGCACTGCTTTAAGTCAACTCCTCACTATGGAATTCTGCTTTACCACAGAGTTCAGCACACATGTCTTCTCCAGCCTTGAAGTTCCTCCATCAACTTGTTCTCTAACCTTGAAGTTTCTCCATGAACTCCTTCCCAAACAAACCTGCAATTTCATTACTATGCCAATAAAACTGTTTCCCATACAGAACATAAAGAATAAACTATATCCCAGCATTAAATTTCGCCATCCGACGCCGCACTGCGTCGTCCGACTGTGGTGGGTATTCCCCCAAACTGGACGGGTCCAAGTGAGGGACATGTCTTGATACGCCCCTGGGAGCTTCTTTCCAGGCTGGGCTGCTGGGGCCTCCACCTCCTCAGTTGCTTCTTGACCTTCGGCGAGGAAGGACGTACCGCTCCTCCCTCCAGCATGCCCTCCGAATTCAAGCTCCTTATTTTAGCTCACTGTCTAAATAAAAATATCTATCCTACATGTACATATGTTCACTCTGATCGCTGAGCACATGATCCAGCACTAGTGGCTACTTTAACAACTGATTAATGAGCTTACCACAGATTTTGAATTCTGGGGCGCTCAGCTCCAGCTCTCCCCAAAATGGTGTCCTCTCTAAGACATCCAACAAAGTTTCTTAATGTCTGCCTCACAACTCTTCTGCTCCTGACTTGAGCTCACACAGTCGTCCAGCAGGCTCCACACACAAACGCCTGCTTGACTCCCTCCTCTTGAAGGAGCACAATGTTAGGGTTCCTTCTACTGCCAGGAGCTCAACAAAGCGCAACCCTCTCTCACAACTTCTATGACTCAAGTAAGGTCATGATGTCCTGCTAGCCCCACCTCGTGTCACCAAAGTATCGACATCTCACTTCATGTCATTTATTTACATGCTCATCTTCTGCTCATATTTTTAAATTATTCACTGACATTTATTATATATTTAATATATATACATCTTTCCTCTGACTTCTCAATCAGGTCCAGAATGCAGAATAATTCTCTCTGGGGTAGACTCGTTCCACCCAGGTTACATGGGGTCATAATATATATATAGTGTGTGTATGTATGTGTGTGTGTATGTATGTATGTATGTATGTGTGTGTGTGTGTGTATATATATATATATATATATATATATATATATATATATATATATATATATATATATATATATATATATATATATATATATATATATATATATATATATATATATATATATATATATATATATATATATATATATATAATATAATAATAATAATTTATTTATTTATTTTTAAACTTACAAGTCATAGATAAACACACAAAGGGCTTCACCCTTGCAGGAGACTCGAACCTAGAAGGCCAGGTGTTCCTGCACTGAACTCAACCAATACTCTGACCACTTACCATGCAGATCCTTCATGGATCTGTGTGGTGGAGTGGTCAGTACTGGTTGAGTCTGGGTGCGCAAACACCTGGGTCTTCTAGGTTCGAGTCTCTTGCAAGGGTGGAATCCTTTGTGTGTTTATATATATATATTTATATATTTATATTTATATATTAAACAATGGTATAATAGGAATAAGAAATTTTGTTTTTGTTTTGCCAGGGTGAACTAGAGGGATCAAAGCTCTACAAAGATCTTGAGGAACGTGCACAGCAGTTTTTCGTGACAAACATCTTATCTGGTGATAGTTCTGAAGATAATGATGTGTTGTCTGCAGGGGCTGTTATTGTCAAGCTACTTGCAAAGGTTAATGTGGATTATGAGTTCTACAAGGAAAGAGCAACTCGGCTTGTTCCCCCTGAAGGTGAGCTTAATAGCTGTTGATGCACTATTTTGATACAAATAATAATTTGATTATTTGTTGTGCATAATCTTCCTATCAGCACAAAACCTGATTGTATTCCAATGTATTGTTGTGATTGCAGATGACAGCTGGCTACAGATTACACCGGATGCTCTGGATGACCTTCTTGAAGCTCAGTTTGGAAATAAGGAAGCTCCTCAGGGCGCTAATGAAACGGAGATAATGAACTCACTCTCAGCTTTCCTTGGACACATGTCTGATCTAGAAGGTGCAGAGGTACCAAAAGACCTGCAAGATCGTATCAGGAAACTTTCTACACTTTCTACTCAACGAAAGAGCAGTAAAGGAAGAAAACCATCTGGTCTTACAGTGAATCCTCAGCTTCGCAAGATATCTGCACAGTCAACTGGTTCTGATGCATCTAACTTTTCTGATGTATCTTCATTCTCCAATAAGATTGACTTCAATGCAGATTCATTCACGGATGCAATGACCAATATATTAGGTAAGCAGTAATATAAGGAAATATTTGCTAATTTTCATTTTATAGTATGCTGCATTAAAATAAATTTTTTTAGGTCTTGATCTAGAAAGGTGAAAGTTGATAATTGCTATTCTTTCTTCTTACTGCTTTTGGTAGATAGAGATAAGTACTGCATATCATTCCGAATATCTTCCTAGCTTTTCTCTTACTTGTCATGTTCTCCCAAACCTGAACAAATTTTAAGCCCAAATGAAAATATGGAAACCATTTAAAAAGAAAGTTTTATTATTTTTGTCAACAAACTGTATCAGCAGGTCAGAAAAAATATTTAGCCCCAGATTTTTGTAAAATTGTTTTGGTTATCTGTCTCGGTAGATATTGCATCTTCAGATTAGGATTTGGTGTCTTTTTCTGGGGGAAGCCCCTTCGACTCCCCGGAGCTATCCGGGCTGATATAAATGTATTAGATCCTGGCATCAGTCAAACGAATGGAGTTCTTAGGCCTACCAGGGACCACGAGCCAGAACCTGGCCCCCCTCAGAGAGTCACTAAGAGCAATGACCTATAGAAGCCCCCGTGTGGTTGAAAACATTCTATGTTTGCCATCGACCGGGTCAGGTACCCAGAAAGGTAGGCGCCCCAAAACAAACCCTATCTGATTAAAAATTGCTAATGAAAGCTGAACTTTTAGACAGAACCCCCAAACTAAAAACGAGCAAATGAGCATGTCACAACTGTCACCACTCCGCTGTTTACGCAGCTCCCCCCTCCCTGGGAGGGAGAAGGAGCTCCAGACTACCCCGCACCAGCTATCCATCCCACCAGTTCTGTGGCTGATGTGAGACCTGGCGGTTTTGCGACTCTGGCTCCAGACATTTTCCAGTGCTGTGCCTTGTGGTGTGGTCCTGTCCTGTGGTGGTATGCGAGCCAAGAGTAATTTCACAATTACTCAGGCTGCATGCATCTAGGGTTCCCTTCCCTAGGTACCCTGTAAGTACTGCCCTTGTGGCTTGGAACTATCTTCTACAAGTTGCTAGGGGTCAGTCTTTGTGGGGTCTTTTACTTCTTGGTGATTGCCTGCCCTTGGAGTTAACTGGGGTGTTCCATGCACCACTGTTTGTCTCTGGGTATATCTTGAGGATATCTTGAAATGATTTCGGGGCTTAGCGTCCCCGTGGCCCAGTCTTCGACCAGGCCTCCTCTTTGTTACACACTCCTCAGGAAACAGCCCGTACCAGCTGTCTAACTCCCAGGTACCTATTTACTGCTAGGTAACAGGGGCATCAGGGTGAAAGAAACATTTTGCCCATTTGTCTCCGCCTCCACCGGGGATCGAACCCGGAACCTCAGGACTACGAATCTGAAATGCTGTCCACCCAACCATCAGGCCCAGCTATCAGGTAGGAGGTAGTTTCGTCACTGGTATCACTGTGGTGCTGTGATTACCTTGCTGTATAGCAAGGTACTGTGCAGCTAGTTTTCACCTTATTATTGCGGCCAGCTCTGCTCTGCATGGGTCGTTGTCCTCTTTCAAGGTTTTCCTTTTACGTTTTGTTTCCTGCTTGGTGGGGTTGTGCCCCTTGGTGTTGGCACCCCTTCTATATATTTGGTGGTCCTCCACTAGGTCCCTGTGAGTGTACACATCCCGGGGGTTCAGCTATTAGTAGTTTGCTTGGTAGTTGGGGTGCCGGTTATCAGTACTTTGCCTGGGCTTCCTTAGCAGAGCGTCTAAGGGCCCCGGAAACCCCCCATTGGGGCTAAGTGGTCTGATGGATATATCCCCTGTAGGTGCCTTGGCACCTACCCGAGCCCTTGCTCGATGTGTTCACAGATGCGTCGTCTCTTGGCTGGGGCTTTGTGACCAGTGCTCACCAGGCCGGCCAGGGCCAGTGGGATCTATCCATCTATCAGGCCCACAGCACGGTGCGGGGGTTTGCAGCAGTGTGGATGTCGCTTTGGAGGGTTTGGGTCTCTCATGAATCGACGATCTAGCTCCATTCAGACTGCTCCCTGGTGGTTCACTGCCTGAACTGCGGGGGTTCGATGTGGTCCTTGGCTCTTTGGAGCTGGTCGCTTTGGGTGACTCATCTGCTGAGTTCTCGGGGTTTGGGTCTCCTGTCCGTTCACGTTCAGGGGTGTCCAACATCCTGCTGGATGGCCTGTTCCAGTTCATTCCCCTGTCCATAGAATGGACAGTCCACGCCGACTCGTTCAGTTGGCTCTGCCTGATGTATGGGCTCCCAGAGGGGAATCCTCTTCGCGTCGGCATGGACGAAGTGTCTCCCGATATATGTGGTGCTCTTCCCCAATTGCGAGGTCGTCGAGGTTGATGCCTTTAGGCAGGACTGGTCGAGGTGTGGTTATCTGTACCTCTTTCCCCCAGTTCCGCTGTTGCTCCAGGTCCTGGCTCGCTTGGAGACTTACCAAGGGTGAGTAGTCCTGTTGGCCCATTAGTGGCTGGCCCGGCCTTGGTTTCAGGCGCTGCTTGCTCAGTGTCTGTACCTGGGTTCTTCCCATGGCTCCGCCACTTTCAGCAGATTGGGCTAGTCTGATACATAGCTAGATTGATCACCCCCTCCTAGTCTTTGCATCTAGTCTATCTAATGCGGGTCTGTCACCAATTGTATGGTGAGCAGGTGGCTTCATTGATGGTGTCTCACCTGCGTGTGTCGTCTTGGAGGCAGTATGAAGTTTCCTGGCAGTCCTTTCGTTATTTTTTGTCCCTCCATAGATTTTCTTCTGTTTTGGATCAGGTTGTCATGTCCTTCCTTTCATGGTTGTTTCAGGCCCGTCATCTTATGCTGAATACTGTTGCCTCAAATCGTGCGGCACTAGCGGAGCCGTTTCAGCTTGGGTTCAGGGTGGATGTTACTTCGGCTCTGTTCTGCAAGCTGTCTCGTGCATTGTTTCACCTCCGGCCTGCTCATGCTCTGCCTGAGTTGCTCCTGGTTTTTAGACCGGATGCGCTCTTTTCACTCTCCTCCTTGGTCTGTTGTGGCCCCTTTGGTTCAAGATTGTTTTGTGAAGGCTCTTTTTTCCTGATGGCGTTGGCCTCTGGGGGTCGGGTTGGGAAGCTTCAGGCTCTCCTCCAGAGCAGAGATTTCTGCTCTTTTGGTCCTGGTGGTAGGTTTGTTCGTTTGCAGCCATCTCCTTCTTTTCTGGTGAAGAATGAGACTGCTGCTTTCCGGAGGGGTCCTTAGGTTGTTGATGCTTGGTTGGTTCGACTGGGGGTGCATCATGTGTTGTGTTCGGTTGCAGTTCTTCACCGTTACTTGCCCGCCACAGCCTCGGTGGCCAGGGATGCGCTTTGGGTTGACCCGGTTTCCCTTCTTCCCATTCCAGGGTTTGGGTCTCCCAGGTCATCCGCAGGGTTATTCGATCCAGCCAGCCTGAGGTCTACCCTTGTGCCCATGACGTTTATTAAGTTTGCTGCATTGGCTATCGTCTTTGGTAATATTTCTTGGGCTGACATTCAGGCACAGGGTTTTTGGAAGTCAAACAGGGTCCTGGCCGCTCGCTACCTAGTCAATATCCCTGGCCTTAGTCGACCCAATGTGTCACATTGAGTCGGCGGTTGCAGCCAGTTGTCTCGACTTCAAGTTGAGGAGCGAGTGGCAACCACCTCCTGGATAAGTCTCTGTTGTTTTATCTTTAGTTAGGTAGCTCCACGGAGCCAAAGGGGCTTCCAGAAAGCCAGTGTTAAATGTAATGAAATGCCATTTTGTGGGTGAGTCCCAGAGGCTCCCCAGCAACCCCCCCCCCCTTCCCTCCGGTCAGCGGTTTTCGCAGGTTTTTTGACATCCAGCCTCAGAACTGGGAGTGGATAGCTGGCACGGGTGTTCTGGAGCTTCCCCTTCCCCTCCCAGGGAGGGGGAAGCTGCACAGACAGCGATACAGTGATGGTTGTGACGTCGTGCTTGTTTGCTTGTTTTTAGTTTAGGGAGTTCTGTCCAACAGTTTGGCTTTCAGTAGCAATTTTTAACCAGTTAGGGTTTATTTTGAGGAGCCTACTTTCTGGGTGCCTGACCCGGTCGATGGCAGACATAGAATGCTACCAACCACACGGGTTTCTATAGGCCATTGCTCCTCGTACCTCTCGGAGAGGGCCAGGTTCTGGCTTGTGGTCCCTGGTAGGCCTAAGAACTCCATTCGCTTGACTAATACCAGGGTCTTAATACATTCATATCAGCCCGAATAGCTCCAGGAAGCCTATGAAGCTCCCTGGAGCTCCAGAGGCAGATGAAACACCTCCTCCAGGGGGTGTTTCTCTTTCTAGGTGTTTCTCACCCAGAAAATGGCATTTAATTACATTCAATGCTGGTTATTTTTTTATATATAAACATGTCCTTTTAAAATATAGATTTTTCAAAACGTTATTAAATATTTTTTATTTCACTTGTTAATCCCCGTCCCCCAAAACAAAAGCTTAAGTGGAGGACTAGTAACCTTACCCTAGTTATTCTCACATTTTGTTACATTTAATGTATAGTTAGCATTATTTTAGAATTAAATTAATTCTGTCTTATTTCACTTACATTCTTTCCTACAAAATACAGTACTGAACTTGTATTGCAAAAAACCTCTAATAAATTCCAAATATTTTCACACCATGAATTCATATTTTCTGCCATCTAAAGCACTGAAATTTTCATATTTAAGGTTAATTTTTCTGTGCACACTTAGATACTCTATTTAACTAATTTTCAGTATTTCATGGTGACTAGTTTCAAGTCCAAGAATCTATTTATATCATTGATATCGTTTTTCACTAGGAGTTGCCCTTGAAAAAAGTGGCCTTAGGTAAAATCTTCTATTAACATTTCAGATGCAGTTTAAATTTTCAGGATTTTCAGAAGAACATCTGAAATGTTTGTTAAAGTACTTTACCTGATTGCTTTGCTGCATGTAGAAAAAATCTTGACATATACCACAGGTAAACAGGTCACGTAAGTGACACTCTTTGAGAACAAAGCTGCAAGAAGCCAGAAGAGAAGCTACAGCTGAATTTCAGTGCCACAATGAGGGAGTCCAAGAAGATATCCCCCAACTTAGGCAGTGCACTACTGAATGCATCTTGATAGGTGCTAGTGGTTGATGCCTACTAGCATGTATGTATATGTATATATATACATGCAAATATATGTTATACATACATATTATATAATCATACAGTGAGATGTCTCTTGCATTACATCTAGTTAATTAATATCTGATTCAGTTAAAGCATGTCGACATTCTGCTCCTCTGCAGTGCGGGTACTATTCAAACTGTCCCTGACAGGTGATACTGGTGCTAGACACACAGGAGAATACTCAGACCATTTCCTGGTACTCAACTCTGCCAGCAGAGATGAGGGTTCTCATGAAGAAAGTCAGTCAGAAACTATTCATTAGTGGCTCAAGTGGGAAAGCGTGGGAAGGTACCATGATTCAAATGTGTGCATGAATTACCATAACCCTTGAACTCTAACGTCAGCCCACGACATCACTGAGAAGAATGCCTTCAGAGTGATGAACTTCTGGAGGTCATGTCCCCTGGTATAGGTCTGCAGCTGACACCTGGACAGTTGAGCCTGACTTGAATCACCATAGTACTCATTCAAAAAGTATGAATCATATTCTTGACTAAGAGTGAAGGGTTGGTATGGCAATGTACAAATAAAGTCTTCAAGACCAAAGAAAATATATTACCGACAGTGGAGCAGAGAGTGAAGCTCATTAAGCCTAATGCCTGTCACAAAAGCCAAGAGGAAAAGTATCTTTAGGAAAAACTTGAAACTGAAAAAAGTTGATAAAATTCAGCACTTTACCAAAAGCCTAAGCAGACATTACAGGTAATGGGAAGGAACACTATCAAGAATGCCTTCCCAGGCTTAAGGAATGGAGGATTGCACAGGTTAAAACTGAACATGATAAGCTTCAGCTCGGCCAAAACAGCCTGATAGGAAGCAATGATATTTAGTCTAAGACACCTGTCTAAAATGAACCAAATGAGAAAGGACATAAGAACGGCATTGAAAATAATGGTAGATGATGAAGGTAAAAAAAACATTGCAGAATCCACCAAGGTGCCTCATATTGCAGTTCATCCTCCTATTTAGATAATACTCATAGTAATGATGTGGACCATCATACATATATTGACGTAACGGACAATTAGAAAGTAGAATTTTGTACTACTGAATTTGGACAAACCAGAAAAAGTTTTGTATTTATGTTGATAATAAAACCTAACCATCTTAGGCTTAATAAATGCTATCTGAGGTTTAATATAGTACATATGTGTGTGTGTTTTACTAGGCCTAAGATTATTTATGTTGGGTTTTACCTATATTTTTCCAGACTCTGTAACGTGAATAGAACCAAATTCTACTAATTGTCTATTACATCAATATATGAAAAAGATTCACATAGTTACAAAAAGGCTAATCTTAACAGGATTAAAGTCTTAACTGGAGGATGGGTTGTATATTAGCAATAAGAAGAAACCCTAAAGTGCAGAATAAGAATCTTTAAAGCAGAAAGAGAATCTAGATAGGAACATCATAAGGACAAGGGTAGCTTACAAAATTACATGGTCCACAAAGGTATTTAACTTCCAAAAGCATATGGACCAGGTGAAACAAATACAGTGTAGATTACCACTTGTTCCAGTTGACACTGTATGTCCACAGCAACTGCATCCCAAGCGAGGAACAATGCCACATAAACAAGAGGTTATGAGTTCCACAAAAATAACACCTGAGGAAGGTTTTTTGGTTTACTCTTCCCCCTACACTGTAATTCACTGGTTGGGTCCAAGCTTGGAGCCTGGTATTGAACTCAGTCCCTCTGTTCTTGGAGTTATTGTACCTGGATATGTTTCAATATGCAGTATAGTCTTCTTTTTATTGCATCTGCCCAACCACCTGGGTTGGACGGTAGAGCGATGGTCTCGCTTCATGCAGGTCGGCGTTCAATCACTGACCGTCCAAGTGGCTGGGCATCATTCCTTCCCCCCTGGTCCATCCCAAATCCTTATCCTGACCCCTTCCCAGTGCTATATAGTTGTACTGGCTTGGCGCTTTTCCCTGCCCTTCTTTTTATTGGCCTGGTTCCTTTTTTCTGTGGTCCTCAGCCTGACTGACAATCAAGGTTGGCTTTAATAGCAACTTGAACATTTGACTGGCCATATGGCTGCCTACTTTTGTCTGTCCTTCATACATAATGATAACTGTTCAGTGTAAATCTGCCAATCCCAGTTTGAAATATGAGGTAGATAGCAGAATCCATCTGGGTTGTTTTTGATGTGCAAAGCAAATCTTTTGATGGTTCTCTATCTCACTCTTTCATGATGCTCTCTGCTCCAATTGTGTGTTTGATTTTTATCTGGTTTTTCCTGTGCTTATCTGGTCAGCACTTTGGAAGTGCTGAGCCACTGAGATGCGCCACACATAAACTCCAGTTTCCTTCAGAGTTTTCTTTTCCAGGGGCTTGCCTGAGGGATGAGTTTGTGTTAGTGTTCCACAGCTGACCTTGTTAGCCAGATGCATTATTTCCTGATCCTATTTGTGCTCAAGTGTCTTACTTTGTCCATGCTGTTCTTGACTTGTCAATTTTTCTGGAGGTTGAGTTGAGCATTTTTCCAAGTCCAACCTGAAACAGGCTTCCACTTTAGGGTCAGACCCAGAGTTTGATTGTTTTGCTCCTAGTTCTGGGTGTTTTGCACTGGACTCTCCATCTTGACAACCAGCTGCTAGACTATGGATGTACATTCTCGTGTTCCTGTGAGGGTATGGCACCACACGTAAACTCCAGTTTCCTTCTGAGTTTTCTTTTCCAGAGGCTTGCCTGAGGGATGAGTTGGTGTTTCATTTTGTTTTTTTTAATTTTGTGATTCCTTGTTGCTGTGTACTCCAGGGACCTGCATTGTGCATGACTACTCTGAATTCCTGTATCATTTACCTGATGTAAAATCATTTATGGTAAGTACTCTCATAATAATGTTGGTTGTAAAACCAAAAATAAATTATATCTACAGTACTAGCTCCATCAGTAGCTCCCTATTGTTGAAGGCTTCACTGTCTCCTGAAACATGCCAGGCTTTTTAGAGCAATCAAGTTTGGAGCAACAATGCAGTCATGTCTGAAACGGGTTATTGCCATTAGGTCTAGAACAGGAGTGGTGTAGTTAGGTCTGGAGCTGGGGATAATACAGTCAGGTATGGAGCTGAGGATAATACAGTCAGGTTTGGAGTTGGGGATAATGCAGTCAGGTTACAGTGGAACCTCGACTTACGAATTTTTTTGAGTTACGACCCCAATTTCGTCTGAAAATTTGACTCAACTTAAGACCTTTGCCTCGACTTGCGACTTTGTTGATACACGTATGGGTCGACGGAGCGCGTGGTTCCTGGTAGCACGGGAGACACCCACTTGAGTTTATCAGACCGCCCGCTTAGTGATGATCGCGCTTGAATTCTTTGTAAAGAATTTCATTGTTTTTGTGATTTTTTGTTTTTTGAACATAAAAGTAATTATTATATATCATGCCATGGGTCCCAAGAAAGTCAGTGGTAAGGTTCAACCTAAGAAAACACATGTGAGGATGACCGTAGAGGAAAAACAAGAGATCTTTCGTAAACATAAAGGTGGTGTGAGAGTTGTTGATATAGATAAGACAGTACAACAAATCTATGTCAACGATATCCACCGTACTTGCCAAGAAAAAGGACATAATGAGTGCTAAGTGGCAAAAGGCGTATCACTACACCTTTTATAGGGAAAACCGTAGGGAAAACGAGTTTTTCCCAATAACGTATGGAAAAACAAGTCTTTATGGAAAGGTTCTTAGTGAGAAAAATAAGCAGTGAGCCACATCCGGGTCCTAGTGGTATGCAGGCAAAATGTAGGAAGAGTACCCCAGAGAAGTCATCACTGCCTGATGTTATAATGGAAGGGGACTCCCCTTCCAAACAGTAACACCTCTCTTCCTCCCCCCTCCTCACTGTCTTTTATATGCCAACAAGAGTTATCAATAGAGGTAAGCTATAACTTGTACATACTATACTGTAGTACAAAATGTGTGTGTGTATTATATATGAAATGTATTTTGACGTTAATATTTTTAGGGCTGTGGAACGGATTAATTCAATTTACATTATTTCTTATGGGAAAATTCATTTCGAGTTACGGCCCGTCTCTGGGAACGGATTAAATTCGTAAAAGGAGGTACCACTGTATATTACGGTTATTAAATAATGAAACACTCATTTTAACTGTCATTTTATATCTACAGTTTCTCATTTATTCTGTACACTTTTTGTTTTGGTAAGATATTGTATTAGGCTTATAAGAAGTGAATTCTAAATTTCAAGCAAGTCTGTTCTACATTAGCTTATGTTGGAAGATTTTAGCGCATGATACAGTACAGCAAACATCTGCTTTTCAGATGATATACCTTCAAGGTATAAATATTCATACAGTAATTTTATGTGAGCTTAAGCATATTATGCAGAGAGTATAAATGTTGAATTATTAATTTATTTTTCACTCAGAATTAGGTGTTCCTGAAGACGATTACTGGAATCATTCAGAGGATGAATCTTCAGGCATGAGTAGCTATGGAGAAGAAGATACTGGTGATGTGAGTCTTAGCCGCAAGTCATCCAACACATCTCAGAAATCTGCAGCATCTACTGTGTCAGCAACATCTTCAGGTGTAGACACGCAGATGAAGGAGTACATGAAAGAGATGGAGAGAGAACTAGCCACCACCAATCTTAGAGACACTTTTGCCTCTAGCTGCAATGACAGTGATGGAGATGACGAATTTGATGATGTGGAAGATTTTTCACCTGTGAAGGTAGATATGAAGGCTGTACAAGACTTGGTAAAGACCTATACTGCACAAAATGGCATGCCAGGACCAGCTTCTTCACTTCTGGGCTCTGTGGGTATCAAACCTAAAAAAAATTAAAATTTTAATACTTGAAGCACTGTGAAGAAATATGGGTGTCAATGAAATACAGGTTAAATTGAAGATTATCACTATTATTATTATGTATTACACTATTATTATTATTATTATTATTGCATTTATGGGATTTGCTTTCTGAAATATATTTCATATTTGGCAATAATTATTATACTGTACATATACAGGTATATTGTACATTGTATAATGAGTGGATGCTTAAATCCATTTCTTGAAAGCTGATTTAATTCAGTAGCTTCTGCATTAAATAATATATGAATATGAAATTTTCTCCTGGGAGTGCGATACTTGTGGTGTTGTGTATACCTTTACCAGAGCAAATGTGCTTGAAAAATCAATAGGAAAGACAGTGAAATAAATTCCATTGATTTTCTGCTCAACTGTGATTATATTTTAAGTATTTTTAATACACTTTTTTTCAAGAATAAAGGGGTGTCCTTATGTTTATATTTAAGTAGTTTTCATGTGTGATTTTACTTAAATGTGTTTCCATTTAGGGGAAAAAAATTGGAAAATTTGACATTACCTGGTTTCCGTTTCTTCTGTTAACATGTATAGAAATTGTATATGGATATTATAAATGCATATCTTGAATGGTCACATGTTTGCCAGTAAATTGAAAGGGTATTATTTCTGTGACTAAAACAAAGTCACAGAAACAGAAACAATATTAGTCTAACTGTTGGCATTATTAATGAGTAAGGTGTGTGCGCTGGAGTATCGCTGCCTTAATAATAAGGATTCACTTGTCGACTATTAACTTAATTTCCTGTCAGAGGCATTCATAGGTTAGTGAGTTAGACATACTCGTATCTTGTTCTGGAGTTTGATGATATCTTTCCTTATATTTTGTAAATGTAGAAATTTTAGAACAAATATTCATATATTATATAAACAAATATATATCTATATATATTTTTTACATGAGTTTATACAAGTACATTACATGTTAGGTTATTTGTAATGCTAAATTTAATATAATTTATTTAATTTAATTGGCATATTTATTCTAAGGGTATTCTTCTGATAATAGTTATATTAACACAAATGCAAATATCATATCCAGGGTATCAAATATCTTCCAAAGGTTTCCTTAACAGTAAGTACAAGCTTTCTAGTATTTTTTTTTAATGGTTAACAAATTCAGAGGCTGTATTATTCAAATATTTTGTTACCATAATTGTAAGATAAAGATACAATGGATATTAGAGTAGCTGGAAGAATACAGTTGTAAATAAATTGCACAATTGGGGGAATACATCATGAGCTATTTCACTGTAACATTGGATTTGCTGCTGAACATCATAATTGTATATACATGCATTATTAATAAACTTATAATAAATTATAATGAATAACTTGATGTATAAGTGCATGAATGTAATGATGACAAGGTGCGACTGCCACTGCACTGCAGAAGGTCTCTGTCATTTGCAATCCTCTCAAATGCTGTGACCAGGATCTAACCCTTGTATTAGAATATCTATAAACCTTTTGTAACTTTTTTTGGCATTAAATGTATCTGCATGCTGCAAATTTTCTTTTAAAATTTGTTTCATTTATCATTTTTTTTAAACTTCAATTGAAAAGTAGTGTTGCAATTAAAAGATGTGATGAAAATGTTGCATAGCAGTGTATATTGCAAAGAAATCCTTAATCTAAAAAAGTTAATGATATTCTCAGAAGGCTCAGATTTATTATCATAGTAAAGGCTCAGATTTATTATCATAATAAAGGCTCAGATTTATTATCAGAAAGAACAAGTTTTGTACAAACAATGGAAGTTAAAACTGAATTGCAATGTAGGAATTGAGATTCAGTAATATACTTACCTAATTGCAATGATTCTTAGATGAGATAACTTGGTAATACCTGAGAGTTATAACACTATTACTCAAGTTTCCAGTTCTTTACACATTTTCACTTCATCACTTAAGACATTTTATGATTATAGTTATGTCCTGTCTGCTCATACTCCTTCACATGGCTTACACAGAAAGCCATATAAAAGATAATGAATCTAAAATGTAAAATATATTTTCACATATGTAAAATAAAATAAAAAAATTCAGGAATGGACCTGTACTTATAACTGAAGGTTCAAAGAGGATGACAAGGAAATTAGCAAAATTCTAAAAGATCAGTATGAGACTGTTTAGCACGCCAATAAACAATATGAAAGTTAAAGATCCGGACAGCTTCTTTATGTATAATATCCAAACCCAACAATATAACTAATATCAACATGAACATTGAAAATTTTGAAAGAGAAATTGACAACATGCCTATGCACTCATCCCCAGGGGGACTCTCATGGAACTTCATATTTATAAAGAAATGTATAGGACCAGTAGCACGAGTACAAGAAAAAGTTTGGATATGTGGTAGATTCCAGAAACACTTAAATTGGCAAATATAGCACCCTTTACACAAGAGAGGGAACACAGCACTGGTTAAATATTATAGACCAGTCACACTTAATGTCACACATAATATAAGTTTTTGAAAGAATGATCGGAGTCAGAGCTCCAGGTCCATGGAGAACAATGACCCTAATAACCAGGTCAACATGGATTTGATGGCCCTACACATCATCATTTGATGTGTAGGGCCAAAAATGTCAAAACTAGCCTTCATCAGTCAGTTAACACATAATTACATTCTACCAATTTCAAGACTCCGTACCAACACAGACAGTAGAAGCAAGAACATTGGGATTTAATGGCCTATTAATATCCATTCATCCACTTGTTCACCTCAATCAGGTCCTGTACCACCTCACCCCAAGCAAATATAAGCTTTGGCAGAGCATGGAGAATTTGTCTTTGAAAATGTAAGGAGAGCCTTACGAAACGCATCCCTAGGCATCAGCCCATAACATAGTGTGAAAATGAACTTTGGAGAGTTAATTTTTCATCTTCCCTCGTCAGTGAAGAAAAACATAAGAAATATGGATAAAATTCTTGTTAGAATCATTAATCTTACTCTTTCGGTCATATTCAACAACGTATGTTTACATGAAAGACTGCTACCAAAATATACTAGTGTATATATATGTTGTACCTAGTAGCCAGAATGTTGTACTTGGCCTACTATGCAAGGCCTAATTTGCCTAATAAGCCAAGTTTTCCTGAATTTATATATTTTTTCCAAATTTTTTCTTATGAAATGATAAATCTGTTCATTTCATTATGTAGTAGTTAATTTAGTTGAATTTGAGTTAAAACTAACATAGATATATGACTGAACCTAACCAACCCTACCTAACCTAACTTAACCTATCTTAACCTAACCTAAACTAACACAACTAAGTCAATAAATTATGGTCTTAATATAAAATAATAATAATAATTCAAATAAACTATTTGGACAAAATTTATTGAAAATAAAGAAAATTACTTGGCCTATTAGGCAAATCGGGCCTTGCATAGTAGGCCGAAAAGTGCATTCTGGCTACTATGATACACAGTTCATCAAGTGTATCATAAAATAGTAGTTCATAAGTGTAGTGTTAAGTGTAAAGAAGTCTTTGAGAATGTAAGAAGCCCTCACGAAACGCTTCTAGGCATCAGACCATTAATAAAAAATGAATTTTTGAGAATTTATATTTTCATTACCACCGACAGTGAAGGAAAACATAAGAAATATTGAGAAAATTCGTGTTAGAATTATTAATCTTACCTTTTCGGTCATATTTAACAACATATGTTTACAAGAGAAACTGCTACCAAAATATACTTATATATATATATATATATATATATATATATATATATATATATATATATATATATATATATATATATATATATATATATATATATATATATATATATATATATATATATATATATATATATATATATATATATATATATATATATATATATATATATATATATATATATATATATATATATATATATATATATATATATGTCGTATAGTAGCCATCACTATTCAAGGCCCGATTTGCCTAATATTTTCCTGAATTATATATTTATATAATATGATGATATTTTCTCTATATGATAATTTTTTTTTATATTAAAATTAACGTATATATATATATAACCTAACCTATATTTATAGGTAAGGTTAGGTTAGGTAGCCAAAAAAAGCTAGGTTAGGTTAGGTTAGGTAGGTTAGGTAGAATATGTCGTACCTAGTAGCCAGAACTCACTTCTCAGCCTACTATTCAAGGCCCGATTTGCCTAATAAGCCAAGTTTTCCTGAATTAATATATTTACTATAATTTTTTTCTTATGAAATGATAAAGCAACCCTTTTCTCTATGTATGAGGTCAATTTTTTTTTATTGGAGTTAAAATTAACGTAGATATATGACCGAACCTAACCAGCCCTACCTACCCTAACCTAACCTATATTTATAGGTAAGGTTAGGTTAGGTAGCCAAAAAAAGCTAGGTTAGGTTAGGTTAGGTAGGTTAGGTAGACGAAAAAACATTAATTCATGAAAACTTGGCTTATTAGGCAAATCGGGCCTTGAATAGTAGGCTGAGAAGTGCGTTCTGGCTATTAGGTACGACATATATATATATATATATATATATATATGACAATGTCAGACCACGGAGGAAAAATGAAACAGGAAATTTCCTTAAGTACTTTCGTATATTAAATACATCTTCAGAAGGTCAGAATCTTCAGAATTTATTGTATATATTTACCTATTTATGTTATAATTACCTATGTATTATGCTTGTATGTCTGCTGTATCAGATGGGCCATTGTGCTACATCGGATGGGCCAATTGGGTGCATCTGATGGGCCAATGGGCGTCTGCGTTGTCCAAGTATTGTACCTCACCTTACTTCACCACTCTCTCCTGCCTATTTATACCCATCACTCGATCTGTAAAATGACCTTCTGAAGATGTATTTAATATACGAAAGTACTTAAGGAAATTTCCTGTTTCATTTTTCCTCCGTGGTCTGACATTGTCACATTCTTAATCACATGTTTATTTTCGTGATATACACACACACACATATATATATATATATATATATATATATATATATATATATATATATATATATATATACATATATATATATATATATATATATATATATATATATATATATATATATATATATATATATATATATATACATACATACATACATACATACATACATACATACATACATACATACATACATACATACATACATACATACATACATACAAACATACATACATACATACTGTCGACGGTAATTGAAAAATCAATTCTCCAAAATTAATTTTTATTTCTAGTCTGATGCGACGCTTGAATGCCTTTCATAATAACTTATTACATTTTCAAAGACTTGATTTACATACACACAACTGTGTTTACAGGTTACAAATGGGTTTACAGGTTATATATGATGAGTAACTTATTGGTAAATTTTTCTTTTTTGTTTTAACATTAAATTATTATTATTTTTTTTTTAGCAGGGTGTGCAGACAGTTTCCTGACATACTAGTAGTTTACATTTGGTCAGATCTACTTCAGTAGGAAGTCAAACCCCCTACAGGTAAGTACAGAGGATCCCAAATCGAGCAGCAGTAACATGAAAGTTCGTCTTTTAAGTTTCCTGGACGACTCATCCAGTGTCCAATTAACAAAGCGGCTCATCAAGGTGTCCTTGTGCCAAATTCCAAGTTCAGTAAACAAGTTTGTAAGTTCAAATTAAACTTTTTACGTTTAGAGTTCTGACTATTATGATCACTGTCTCCCTGGTCCGTCCGCAAAATCAGTAGGTTGCTATGCCAGTATTGACGTCGTCCTCTGTCAGTCATGGGGTCAACTGGACCCAGCCAGGAGTTAGCTATAGTGTGCTAGCCAGGGGTCAGGTGGAGGCCAGCCAGGCGTCAGGTGGAGGCCAGCCAGGTGTCAGGTGGAGGCCAGCCAAGGGTCAAGTGGAGGCCAGCCAGGCGTCAGGTGGAGCCCAGCCAGGCGTCAGGTGGAGGCCAGCCAGGCGTCAGGTGGAGGCCAGCCAGGCGTCAGGTGGAGGCCAGCCAGGCGTCAGGTGGAGGCCAGCCAGGGGTCAAGTGGAGGCCAGCCAGGCGTCAGGTGGAGGCCAGCCAGGCGTCAGGTGGAGGCCAGCCAGGCGTCAGGTGGAGGCCAGCCAGGGGTCAGGTGGAGGCCAGCCAGGCGTCAGGTGGAGGCCAGCCAGGCGTCAGGTGGAGGCCAGCCAGGGGTCAGGTGGAGGCCAGCCAGGGGTCAGGTGGAGCCCAGCCAGGCGTCAGGTGGAGGCCAGCCAGGGGTCAAGTGGAGGCCAGCCAGGCGTCAGGTGGAGGCCAGCCAGGGGTCAGGTGGAGGCCAGCCAGGCGTCAGGTGGAGGCCAGCCAGGGGTCAGGTGGAGCCCAGCCAGGGGTTAGGTGGAGGCCAGCCAGGGGTAAGGTGGAGGACAGCCAGGGGTCAGGTGGAGGCCAGCCAGGGGTCAGGTGGAGACCAGCCAGGCGTCAGGTGGAGGCCAGCCAGGAGTAAGGTGGAGGACAGCCAGGGGTCAGGTGGAGGCCAGCCAGGGGTCAGC